CCAACCCAGTTGTACGTAAGAATTAAATTGTTATCAGACAATTATTTTACTTTTAGAACAATTTTTAATGAATATTTATTCTGAAGACACTGAAACTAATGAACTGGGTAAATATAGGAATGTTTTAAATTTATGATGATACATATTGTATGTTGATAAGAGAATACGAGTCTATTATACTGCGTCCTATTTACTACCATATTAGTACGCTGCATAATGCTGTAACACCTGGGCACTGTACAAGTTAAATCTGAAATGTATAGTAAAACCCTAGTAGTTCTTGATTCTACAGGTATTTGTAAATAAATACGAAAATAAAGTATTATTAGTATTATTTGTAAATAATACTCACTTTTTATATGTTTTGTTGAATACATGTTTCGTGGAACTTTGTTAATTCAACTTTGATTCGAATGCAGTTTCATTGGAAGAAAATGAAGATGGCGGTTGAACAGTGTGATTTTAAGACGGAGACCAGTTTTTGCATATCAATGAAAGATAAATGCATTCAAATAGGTCGTTGGCCTGGATACTTGAAACTCTCAAGAAAATGGCGTGCGTTTTAAAGCGTTGCTAGTTCGTTGCAGAGAAGAAATTTCTGTAAAAATAATAAACAATCAAGTGACATGTTTTTGTAAAGACAATATATTTTTGTCGAGACCTTTTCAAAAACCTTTAAGTTCTTTATTTAATTAGGGTTTCTGAAAAGTCTTTTCACATGTTTTAAACAAGTTCATAGACAAACTTCCGTTTTATTCAACTAAAGTTATTAATCTGTACGTTCCTCATTTCGTTCAATAAATTTTTGTCTGATTTCATTAATATAGATGCCGTATTGGAAAACGAGGACGAAATATAATATTTTGTACAACTCAGTACAATTTACTGTTGCATACTCACTGATGTATCCACACTGTGGATTTCACAGAATTCCAGAACTCCGTGAATATTGATTTAGAGTTGCACATTCAACACATTTAAAAAGTTCAGAGTGTTGCCACTAAAAAGCTATGGCAAATGAAACATAGCTCTCTCGTTCGTTCGTGAAATATTATAATACGCTCCTGTGACATCGAATATATTCTATTATCCAGACGAATGCATATCTTCGTTCGTGTCTACGATTCATTAAATCTCATTGTTCGTTTTATTAAAAATATTAAATGAAATAGCGCGCGATAGTTGGAGCATTTTATCCACTAATTGAAAAGTTCTCGTGGAGAACATAAAAATTGAAAAATTCCCTTTTTTTATTTTTATCCTGAAGAACAGTGTTCAAATTGGAACATTTCCTTTTTTCATTGTTACTCTGAAAAAGGTAGCAAAATTGAAAATTTGTCTCTTTCCATTCTTACTTTCAAAAAGGTACGAAGATTGTCTTTTTCTATTCTTACCTTGAAGAAAGGTATGAATATTGAAAGATTGTCTTTTTCTATTCTTACCTTGAAGAAAGGTATGAAAATTGAAAAATTGTCTTTCTCCATTCTTACCCTGAAAAGGTACCAAAATTGAAAAATTGTCTTTTTTCATTCTTACCTTGAAAAAAGGTACCAAAATTGAAAAAGTGTCTTTTTCTATTCTTATCCTACAGTATACAATTTAAGTGCGATTTTCCTTTCATAACCAGTCATCAATAACAACACCCATCCATAATACCGATAATACTGAAAGATGACATTATTATGGCAGCGTTCAACGTACTGTTAGATAACTTTCTTCCTCCTCCTGAAAAATTAGACGTTCGACTCACAGTAATTTCCACAAATACTCTCCAATTTCCCCATTGTGTCGCGGTTTTATCATTTACGATTGGTGTTATGAAACAGGGATGTCGGACGATAGTTCCCGTACACGCGGGAAAGCGGAAGCCAACTTTTCCAAAATGAACACTAAAAAAATGGAAGCGACACCGTGCGATAAGCTGCGAGAAAATAAATTCCCCTCGTGTGTACGTCGCCTCCGCGATGAATAACTTAGAGAGCACATAACCGTACGTTTCGAAGTTCTTCCGCAAATCGATTTAGATCCGGCTCGATTACGTACGGAATTCATACTTTATATCATCTCACGGTACATCGTACCGATCCACGAGCGACTTAACATCTCTATTATTTAACTCAATAGTGGACGCTACAACAGCAACGCCAACGATCGATTACAGAGTCAATTTTGGCTGAACGACATCGCAGATCTTCGTGTAAATATTGTACTAATTCCATTGAACCACGTTTACACGAAGCCGAGAGTCAGTTGGAATTCAGTTCTTTCAATATTCTAGCGATGTAAAATCTAACAGCAGTTTATAAAAAATTGTTTGATTTATACGAAAATGGTTCTGTTTCTCGTAGTGCTGGGAATTGAAGTATTACAGAGCCACATGTAAAGCATCGCTTTGTATAAATGAAAATAAAATAAAAATCTTTCTGCTCGGAAGCTCCCTTTCGAGAAATTCCAGTTTTATTCGTCGAGTACTTTTGTATTTGACTATTTTGCTATACATGTATAAATGTAATTTTACAAGAAGAAGATCAAAGAAATTTAAAAAAATTTGTTTCATGTTATCTTTTTAAATGCTGAATTAAATCTTTGTAGGTTACAATATGTATTATATATTTTATATTTGGGAACAATTTATAGATACAATTTTATATAAATATGTATGATACAATTATATATATATTTATTTATTTATATTTTTATTGTTACTAACATTTTACAGTGTGTACTTATTGTTGTAAAAAAATATTTACCTCCGTTTGGTCCTTCATTTACGACGAAAAATGGTTCTGTATCCCCTAGGGGAGAGACAATTACAGTGGTAGTACGAGGAAAGAATTTTATCGCTTATAACGACGGCGATCAATAAGACATTATCTATCACAATTGGTTAGACCGAGTGCTAATTGTCTTCTGACGAATTGAAGAATATCGTCTCCCTTCGCGTTACGATGCTTTTATGAACATTATACATTTCATTGCATCCTTTCCAAAAAGACGAATAAACACATTCTTTAATCGTATTCCAAAGGCGACAACTAGAAAAATGTTATCTACTACCCGCTTGAAAATCATATTAAACGAAAGATACGAATGTAACGAAAAAAATGTAATTTACTATTTTCTACAATTTAAAAAGTTCGAAGTTAGAATAAATTTTCTAACGAAAGATTCTATTTTAAATCTGTAAAATTGTGTTCCGTTAATTTTTTGTTAATTTAATTATCCTCTGTGCACTTCACGTAAATCACACGTTGTAAAAATTTACGTTTTATTTGCATCCAGCATCAAGTTTGGCCCGAGTTAGGCGAGATTAAATGCAAGGCTGTTTCAGACAAGGTCTAGTTTAGCTTCGAGTTAGGTCAGGGTCAGTTCTAAATCTATTGTCAATCGAGACGAATCTCGGTTAATTAATGCTCCCGTTAAGGTTTAAGAGTGGTTCGATGGTACTTTTTCGTTTAGTTCGTCCGATTCCAAGTGCTGTTATTAACAGTAGCACGTACCAATAATCAAAGCGAAGACCCTCTGAACTTTCTTGCCTCCTGCCTTTTAGAAGAACGTAATGGCTCGAAGTCGACGGTGACTTGGAATTCTCGCTCAACGGTGCCACTACGTACTCCCCTTCTTCTTTGACTTTTTCGCCCGTTTTCGTTTCACATCCGTTGAACTTGTTGGGCCTTTCTAACCTATCGCACTAACGTTCTTCTCGGCTGTTGTAATTACTTTAATTGCGGTCGGCTGAATTTCAATTAAGCCACCCGTTAGAAATTTATTATCCGCCATTTAAGTTAATTCAATCTAACCGTGCATTGTGAACCTGTTTATTCGCAAAATAGAAGGCAAGTATCATGCTTCGTGTATCCTTTGTATCGGAAAGTCGAAGTTGTCAAGTACTACGAGCGGGTATATTACGTAGTACAAATTTCTGTTGCCAACACATTCTAGACGAATTGAAATTCCGTTTATATCAACATAGACAAATAGTATTCTATACATAATAAAAATGTAAACGTATTCGCGTTTGCTCAAAGTATTCTTGAAACAAGAATTCCCTATAAACCTAATCCCAACACCAATTCCCATAAGCGAACATTCAGTTCCTCCATAAACGACTTTTGAAAGTGAATTAATTACTATATCTCATCAAAGTTAATCTTCAGCTACTCAATAGAAAAACTCCATTAAACCTTCGAGAAACAATTACCAAGTACATTAGCAACTGCTTCTCACCGAAACTAAAAATACCCATGGCAATGATAAAAAAAAATTGTAAAAATCTCCCGGCACATCTAGCAGAGCCAGGATTCATTCCAAGATCGACGTCGCTCCTCAAATTACTGCTCAACTAAGTCTACTTCAAGTTACGCAGTCGTTCGTGCCGGTTAAATGAAAATCCCGGACCGGTTAACTTAATTTACTTAAATTCCCGTTTATTTTGTTCCCGGGTAAAGCTGAACGAAGACGGGAGCCCGTCTAGGGTTCCCATTAATAATAATGCCGGGTTCCATGGGAACGCGTTTATTGTTCGTCGCAGACAATTGAAGAGGCACGGGGTACTGCGACTGATTGTAAGACTGATTTAGCTTAACAGGGGATCATCATCGAACTTCCAGCTTCCTGAAAGTGACGCGAATGCGCAGAAAGTTTGACGTCAAACGGTCTCGGTTAAGGGACAGGACCTTCCGCGGCTGCCATGGATATTGATTTTCCCCTGAGTTTTCAGGTTTCTAGAGCAGCGGACGTTGTAGCGCAGACGCCATTCTCAACATGGCGGTGGACCAGACCGTAATCGTGCCGCGTCGCGTTTCGACCGCCCCGTCGTCTCTCCCGGTGAGGAGACACAGGAAAACAATGGGACCGTAGCCCGGGAAACGTCGGACCCACTGGCCAACCGATTCCTACGAGCTGGTGAAACGATACCGATCAACATGGCGGCCGGGACATGTGCCACTGTCACGTGCTTACTGATCGCGTCGATCGCACTCGCCAATGGTGAGCTTCTCGGTTCCTCGGAATCGCTCGTTACGATCGAGGGAACGGTTGTCGGATCACGGTTTAACGATTCATTGAGAAAAGTTCTATGATTTCGCATGCCCCAAGAATGTTAATTGTTCATGACATTTGATTGTTAGTCTGTTAAGTTATGGATCATAGATTCTTTGACTTATCTTCGAGTGCAATGACTCCGAGTGATTTCGTTGAGTACTTTTTTTCTCATCGAAAGTTTCGTCTTCGGAAAGATGTTTTCGACGTAAATTTCACGCGGGATCTCGAAGGTTGGAATCTAGGTAAATTGTTTTGAATTTTTAAATGTGGGCGTAGGTATGTAATATTTTGAGTGTTCCGGGTGTTCGGGAGATGATTCGGCGAATCGTTTTTGAGAACCTTCCGGTTTGAATTGATTGAGATTCGATTGTAGTTCGTGAGAAGTTTTCGTTGTAATTGTATAATTGGTCGGTTTAGGAATGTGATTGATTTGGAGTGATAAATGTTCGTTTTCTTTCGATTCTATGGGATCATTAGGACAATTATTATCCACGGAACATCGAACTCACGCAGCTTCGGAACGAGTGAACGATTTATGGTGTTATCAATGCGACACAATGGAAGATGGAGAGAGATGTTCCAATCTAACCGGAAATTATAGTGCTTTCGAGCACAAGTGCACTGGCGACAAAAGGACTTGCATGGTAATGACAAACGACGAATGTAATTTGAATAACTGTTGATCACGCGAAACGCGCGAGAGCTTCGGTGTATCGTTGGCATTGTTGTTTCACTTGTCATTCATGATTTTCACTAATATTCCGATCTGAGATGAAAGAAAAATTAATTCCTTATCATATTTCTTATAACGTTTACATTTTACTAAGTTGAAATTAACTAAAATTATTTATACAATACTTTAATCGATAACTAAAGAATTAAATAGCATTTCCTTAATTTCGTTCATATGTTTTTAATTTAAACGATCTTTCTCTAAAACGATATTTTTTAGAGAATTGTCAAGTGGAAACTATTGGTAATAATGTTTCTACTGACATATAATAAAAAATTATTGATGCAGCATTTCCTATAAAACATTTATTATATACATCATTTCATTTATATTCTCCGTATATGCATAAAATATATATATTTAAGAAACAAACTCTTGATGATACCGATGGTACAGATTGGAAAATCATTTATATTAAACATTTTTAATGGTAATATTCATATAATATATAATATTATATAACAATATATTAACATAGAATCTTTTAGTATAATGATATAATACATTATATCAATAAATTAATAAATTAGAAATGATATAATATTATAACATTATATATTATATATCATAATATATTAATATAGAATATTTTAATATAATAATATAATATATTATATTAATAAATTAATAAATTAAAAATGATATAATATATAATATATAATATTATATTAATATTAGTATATTATTATGTATTAACATTAATATTTGGTGGTGTTTTTTCAGGTGAAGCGATTCTCTTACACGACCAGCACCGAGAATTCAACGTCGAGTCCACAGACGTGGTCGATGGAGAGAAAGTGCACAAACAAATGTGATCCTGGATGTATAATTATTGGTGAACGTACGAAATTGTACGCTTGCACCGCTTGCTGCGAACAGTCGTTCTGTAACGTCGGCACCGGCGCTGCCAATCGCCTGCTGACGAAGGGGATCGATTTATTTCTAGCCCTAATATTACAAATTATTTTAACAATCGTCGTGTATCCGTCGTGACATTGTAAATAAAATAGCCGACGACGTCCCTGTAAATAAATCCAGTTCTCCATTTTATTTTTGTACATTTCTCTGCGAGACAATTACATTTGCGTTACATAGAATTCGAACGCTGAGTCATTCCTCGTTTCGATATCACGTCACCACGAGACCACGATTGTTTTTCTGAAAATAAAAAATGACAATCTCAAAATGCACGTGTCTGTCTGTGTACGTAATTAACCTGCATATACACAGAGTGTCCTGTAAGCGAACGTTCAGCGTCTTGTAAAGTGGCGGACATAAAAATTTATGTAAATATTTATCAGTTTTACATGGATTGTTTCATTGAAATTTTTTACTTGTAAGATATTAGGAGAATTTTGTCAATTTAAACATACGGTATGTTCTCTTTCGAGATTTCCTGCTGCAGAAATAAGTGAAGAATTTATTGATGTTAACAGATGTTTCACATCGATATTAACGTAAATTTAAAACGTCGCGAAGTAAAGAATTATAAGATAATACAGTTGGAGTATATTAATCATTATTATTGTGGAATTGTAGGAATGACAATTTTTGTCATTGAAAAGTTTTATTAGATTTTTGGTAGGAGAATGGTAATAGTTTTGAAGCGCCTACTAACATTTTCGCTTTATGGGGAAAATGGGCACGGAGAAAATAGTTATATGGGAGGGAACACTGGAACTAATTGTATTATGCTTTGTTCCCGTATCAAGTATCCAAATTTATGTAATTGCATCATTTTCACAGTGGACACACCTACAGCTGCGACCAATTAACGTGGTTACACAACCTAAATGGGAGCATTCAGTTTAAAGTCGAGCAGTCTGTTTATCCTCCTGGAAATCAGTGCGTTATCTTCTTCTCGGAAGTTCGCGATTCAACTCAGTTCCCATCGCACTTATCTTCCGGTTAATTTCTTCATTGAGGAAAAATATATGAAATTCGGGATACGCGTATTTCGTCTTGTGCTCAAATTAGACTTACCGAAACAATTACGCTGTTACATTCCGATTCCCTTCGAAAACTCTCTCTTTTCTCACGATTCTCTAAAAAATCTAGTAAAAACGAACGAATCTCTAAAGCATTTTCTTTCTTAATTCATCGAATAGATTCCGGACACCCTGTACAACGCGTAAATATAAAAAAAATCTTGTCAAAATTCTTGTCTTTATCGAGCTATCCAAGTTACCATTTTCTTACCATTTTATTCGTTCACCTCATCCTCGAAAACTGAAGTTCTCAAGCATCGAAACACTTTCAAATTTGAGAATAGTATAAGAAAATTATTATCATACGCTCCTAGATTATAGATAATATTTCAAATTCGTAAATAAACCGAGAACCGTAGCGAGGCTGAGCGATTCGATTACTTATTCGTCATTTTTAACTCAGCTTTCCACAGAGAAGATCATTATTAATGCTTAAAAGAAAAAAAATACTCGTCTGGAAAGGGTTAATTCCCCTCGATTAGACTGATTGCTTGCCCCGGGCCGTGACGAGAATTCTCTGCGGCCGGGCCCGAAGACGAAATCCTCGTTAACAGCGGCGCGCGCGGACAATGAGTTCGCCGGCATCCTCGTTTCTCGGTGATTGCACATAAAGCTGCCATTATTAGAACTTCAGTGGGCGGCTGCTGCTTTTTCCAGCCTAGCGCGATCTTACGCACAATTCGCTGGTGCATTCGCGTGCCTTTCGTCCATGTGGCTGCCAGTTGCACAGTTGTCGCGCGTCCTCCTCGCGTTAATTGAACCTACGCTCATGAAATTAGAGAGAAGCCGCGATAGCGATTGCCGCCGAGCCACCCGTTTATCATCGAACCGCCGTCCGGGCCTCTGTTTCCCAGTGAATCGTCGCCGAGTTGAATTGCCACTGTTCATCGACGAAAAATGGCACTTCCAAATGTGAGTGGACCGAGAAAACGTTCGGAAATCCTTTGCCGAGCACGCGAAATCCTAGAATCTTAGGGCTAAGAAGAGTCTTCCACGTGTTTCCGATCTACGGACGGATTAACGCGAACCTGAGCATCGATTACGGGACTTATTTCGATCAATTATGGAATTCAAATGAAACCGAGGACGTCGGAGTGAGGAACCAATGTTGAAACGATGTTTCTCGAAGTTCGGCCGGGGGAATCGCATTGAAATTTCGCCGCGTTCAACATGAAACGGTCCAAGCTACCTAGTGTCCTGCTGACCACGTGGCTGCTGGGCACGTTCGCGACGAAATCCAGGGTGACCGAGCTTCTGCAGAGCTTACAGGTCTACGAGATCGTTTATCCGCGGATAATCGCGAACGAGAACGTTCGCGGCAAACGATCGACGGATAAAATGCTCGACGACGGATCAGTGGTCATCGAGATCGGCAATTGGACCTTGAGGACGGTCGCTAGCGACAGAATGGTGCTGGACACGGGGTTCAAAGTGGATTGGGTGTATTCGGGACGGACGAGATCCGAGGTTCACGGAGGACGGTACGATTGTCAGTTTCGGGAAGGCAGTTTGGACGAAACCGACGATTCTACGGTGGTCGTCACGTTGTGCGACGAGGATGTGTACGCGGTGATGGTGACGGGCGGTGCTGCGTTTTTCGTAGAACCCTTGGTGGATGGGAAACACGTGATGTACGAGTCGTCGAGCGTCGGATGGTGGTCGTCCAGGGAGGATTCCGGTGTTGTGTCTCTCAGACGACTGGCAGGTGGTAGTCCCCGAGTTTTTCGTTAGTCGGTTGGCAATGTGACGTGCACGCCGTAATTTATGGCGGTTTATCCGCGGAACAGGGGATATGAATTCTGAAATGAATCTTTTAGAGGATGCAGAACGTTTATTGCGCTGTGGCTCGTGCGAAATGATTTTATGAGGCCGTTGATCATGTTATTCTAGATGATGAAATTTGCGATTTGGACTTTTCATTTGTATATCAGTTGCTTCGAATGCAATATAATATAATTGCTTTATGTAATTATTGTGCGTGATATAATTTTTATGAAGTTCCGCGACGTCTGTTTTATTTCATTTTAGAGAGACGAGGGAATTATTAATGTTAGCAATGAAGTCGAATCGTTCCAGAATTCCTGGCACACGCTCCATTGAATTCAATAATTATTATTTAATTATTGTTAAATTATTATTTAATTATTATTTAATTATTAATTCATAATTTTAAATTGCACGATCGGAGCACGATCGCGAGTAATTAAATAAACATGCAAAGAAATTCCAGTTTCGCGGATTGAAATGCGGACCTATTAACGCAATAGAATTGCGTAACTGGGTAAACAATTATCAGCTTGATGACCCGCATAGCTCGAGTTACGGTGGAATTTCATCCGCGCACGTGGAAAATTCAAGGGGTGTACGGTTTAAGAGCTAATTAAGCGGACTCACAGTGAAGACCAATTAATCCTATAACGTATTACACGAGGAATTTATTTGCATTAATATTTCGTCAATAATTGTAGGGTACGAGAACGAGAAATCGAAACGCAGGAGACGCGACGCGACAGATCATTCTACTCGGGAATTTTATAATTTATCGGGTGACACGTTTGATATGGATTACCCGGAAGCTGAAAAGTTAGTATTGTACGATGAGAAAGATGAAATACCGACCGAGTATAATGACACTATGATGGAGGAATTGCCGGTGGACGAAAATTCGGAGGATATTGGTTATTTTGGTGGTCCTCTGTGGCAAAGGAACAGGATACCAAGTGAGTGATCACGTTTCTTATTTTCCTTCTAATTTGATCATTGAATTTTAAGCTGAAATTCAAGTTAAAATTCAGTATTGCATCTTAAAGATGAATCTGAATTTAATAGTTACAATATAATGCGCGAACGATGACTGAAGTTTAACGTGCATCCTTAGAAATCAGTTGTCAGTTTGAAGTTGTTCGATATTTAGCTTCAAAATTGAATTTGTTAATGAAGTTCTATAAACTTACAGAAAAGAAAAAGATTGCTAAGGAATCGTCACCGCGTTGGCTGGAACTCGGAGTAGCTGCCGATTATTCGGTAATAGACTTTCACGGACGACGTGCGCAACAATATATCTTAGCCCTTTTAAATATCGTACGTAAACAATAATATCCTTAATAATGTCCTTAATACAAAAGTTAATATGAAAGTTACGAAACCAATCAGTAAGTTCGGATCGTAGGTCAGTGCCATTTATATGGATCCGTCGCTTGAATCAAACATGATCTTAGTGATCGTACGAATGATTTTGTATGCAGAAAAGAGGGACAGCCTGGTAAGCAGATTAACACGTTTCCAAGTTCCATTTAATTTCGCTCGAAATGTATAATTAATCTTCTTACGCATAAGACTGTTTCGAGTCGCAATCAATCAATACATCGGGAACTTCGCGTAACTTCTCGATTCACGGTATTCGGCTATAAAAAGAATAAGTTGAATTTAAAATAAATCTGGACGTGAAATTGAATTATAGGATACAATAAACTGTAGTTTCTAATTTTAATGTATATTCTTATTCGATAGGCGTTGTTAGAAATCTACGAACGCGAGCTTGTCGAGAAGATACGAATTGTCAGAATTAGAATGTAAAATTATTAATGATGTAATAGGTTCGTCAAGGCGATGCCAGACGATCACTCGAAAATGTTAATAGGTGGAACAGGAAGATACTGTCCTCGACAACTGTGGACCACGACGTTGCAATATGGCTGACCCGGTTAGACATCGGCGGACCTTCTGGATACGCGCCTGTCTCCGGTGTGTGTAACTCTGCGAGATCCTGCGCCTTGAATCGAGACGAAGGCCTAACAAGCGCCTTCATCATCGCCCACGAAGTGGCGCATATGTAAGTTTAACGTAAACCGGAGAAATTTCGAAACGAAAATTTAAAGATAATTCGATTACTCAAATTTTCACTTATACATAATATTTATTCGAATCAATTACGATTACCACTAGAACTACCGAGCGATTATAGTGATTTTTCGAAATTGTCTTTAAAAAAAATGGAAAACTGTATTTCTCGAGATTTATCGCCTCGTACAGTTGTATTCGTACAAATACACAGATCTGTTTTATCGATAATTGTGAAACAATAATTTCCTAATGGGCCATTTTGACCTTCTGGTAGTTCTAGTGTTAGATTATTCAGAGAAAGAACGAAACATTATCGTTTCTCTAAAGATAAAGTCTAATTCAATTATTATTGGGTTAGCAGAAAAATAATATTTTTAAATGTCTAAACGAAAAGAATTCATTATGATGCTATTAAATTCAATTAATTATTAAATATCATAAAAGTCATCTTGAAATGCTGTCGTTCGGATTAAACAATGTACAAAGATGTTTTCCATAGTCTAGGCTTAACTCACGACGGCGACGAGACCACCGGAAATTCATGCAAAGAGGAAGGTTCACGAGGAAGCGTGATGGCGCCTATGGTCGCCGCAACCTTTCATCATTTTTATTGGTCGTCCTGCTCGAAAAAGGAGTTCCATCGAAGAGTCAGGTGAGAAAATCATTTTTCTCGAATGGAATATTTTGTCACGTGGTTTATTGTTAAACTAAGTATTTCTAGACGATGGTCCTGTTTATTGAACAAACCAGCATACGACAGTTCCACTCCTCTAAAGGCTACCATTCGCGACACCTTTACAATGGACGAGCAATGTCGAGTAGAATTCGGTGAAGGGTACGTTTTTCTCGTTGATTGTCACGTAACAGGCAAATAACATATATATTCTTACTGTTTAATACGTCAAAAATAAGATAAAAATGTTTAATTATATCCTTTAAGAATTAGAAACCTTACGTATACGTTATCTATACAACCCTAATCGGACCACAATGTGACTTCGAGTCGCATTTGAACTTCTCACTTAAATTCTTTGATTATTTCATATTGCATTTCCAAAAGTTTCTTTTGGGTTTTCAAAATTTGGGCCCCATAAACAGAAAGAATAACATTTCAATCGTTCCTTTTAGTCTCATAAGTGACTGACAGTCACGTCGTGCTATGATTCGTTATAAAAACACGTGATACGATTAGAGTTAATAATTAGTATACGAATCGTGGAAGCAAAATGATTCAGTTAGATGTAACGTGGAGTATTTTACCTCTGTCCAGTTACGAACACTGTAAAAGTTTCGACGTCGTGGAGCCATGCTCCCATTTGTGGTGCGGCAATCAGAATATTTCTAAAATCTGTAAAACTAAGAAAGGACCGCCATTAGAAGGCACGTTATGTGGTGCCTCGAAGGTAAACGAATCCCCTCGTAATCCGTTTTAACATTTTGACTGCCACGTAAAAATTATGCTGCCTTATAAATTGTCTTGGTAATGTATTAGACGAACTTCATTTTCTTGGATCTATGAAATATAAAGAGGACAGTGGAGCAATTACGAAGAATCTAGCCATTTTAAAGCTAGATTCTTGCCATTTAAAGCCATTTAAAGAAACTATTTTTACTATGTGAACTTTTTGATTAGTCTTTATTTGGCAGTCAACATGTTGATGAAGTTATACAACGATCCACTCATCGTTCCAATTCTTCTATGGTGATTCTAGTGGTGCATAAACGGTCGGTGTCAGTCGTCGAAAAAGGGAAAATTTGATTTCGGCTTAGCGCTGAACAAACCAAGGGACGGTGGATGGAGTCCTTGGAAACAGTGGGAGAAGTGCTCGAGAACCTGCGGGATAGGCGTGCAATGTCGAACACGAAAATGTAACAAACCGCTGTTAGTAATACTAACTTAGAAATTAAACATTCAGCTGATTGCAATGAAATGGTTGATCAGTACGAAACGCGACGAACGATATTAACACTAATATTCTCGGATGTATCTGTAACGATCATTTCTCTGTAGGACACCTTGTACGTGAATCTGATTAATGAAACACCCGTATGTCACTATCAATGATCCCTCAAATATTCTGTAAATGGATAAGGTAATTCGACATCTTGCAGGTGCACGAGATACGTAAAACGTCCTTTTCATTTTTTCTTCCATTTTCAGTATTCTTTACAGTCAGTCGAAATTATTGACTCGCATGTGTGATTTATGGTTCGTTAATTCAATAGAAAGGAATCGATTAATTCCGATATTCGTTTGTTCTCATTGATCACACGTTTTCATTGGAAAAGGCACTTAAATCTTGACCAGTTTTCGATTTCCTCTGCCAAAGGCCAGCCTACGGCGGAAAATATTGTTCAGGGGCGAGCGACGACTGTAAAATCTGCGATTTACCGAAATGCCCGACATCGGTCGACCTCAGGGCCCAACAGTGTTCTAAACTCGACACGCTCACTGTGTTCACGTGGCTACCGTACGAGCCTGACCAGGAGAACTTGAAGTGTCAGTTGATTTGCAGGAGCAAAGAGACAGGCGATCTGTTTTATACGAGGGAAAACTTGATCGATGGAACACCCTGTTCTTATGGATCCACGGATATATGTGTACAAGTAATTTATATTTTTTCTTATCGCAGCGGAAGGAATAATTCTTGAATTTGAATTTGAATTTGAATTCGAATCGTTGAACTCAAGTTCCAAATTTCATCACCGAACCTTTCAATTTAACGCGAAATGTGCACGTTAAAATTTTAACTTGTCGCAATAGAATTTAATTCCGCCGATTGCAATTAAGATCGTGAGCTCGGATTCAACTCTTCGAATGCAAATGCAATTTTATCACAGAAAGTCGACGTCGACTTAAAGTTCTCTTTAAATTGTTCGCAGGGCGAGTGTCACAAACTAGGTTGCGACAATGCCTTCGGCTCGAATAAAGTGTTGGATTTATGCGGGGTATGCGATGGCGACAATTCCACCTGCGAGAATGCCATCAGCAAATTTCAGCGAAAGCTTCGCCGAGGTCAGTCCAGTCGCCGTTCAAATTGAGTTATTAGAAGTACCGACCAAGTTCCCGTCAAAGTCAGAAACCGTGGGAGAAGGAGCACTCCTAATTAGTTTAAAGTGCTGGAATGCCGAAGGGATAGGGGGGAGGAGGAGGAAAGTGATTAGTTGTTAGCTCGGGTCGCTTCGAGGAATGAAACTGCAGGTGTTCGTTTCACTGTTCAATTTTTGATCGTGGAATGATCATGACGAGTACTAAGCAAGTACTATGTTGCTGGAAAATAAACAATACTTCGTCGTTTCATACGGGTCGTTCTACAGGGTGTTTCATTTACTTTGCATTCGAATTATTTCGGTGAACAATTCTGTAATCGTATAAATTGTTAATCTAAATATTACATTCTTTCCTGCTCTTAATGCGAGAGGAAGATGTCATTGATATTGACTTATAAAGAGTGCAATCAACGTAAAATTATTAAGACTGCTAAGATAGTTTTGATATAGTTATTTCTATAGTGAATGATTTTATTCAAACATGCGTGACACTTTCGTTATGCAGATATGGAGACATTAAAATAGATTGTTCTTTTGCTTTAGAAGTGACTCGAATCGCTATTATACCCCGAGAAGCTCATAATTTGATCATGAATATTACGGTAGTGGCCATTCCGTTTTTTGATTTGGACAACGTATCCATTGTGGTGGGCGATGGACGAAGAAGGCGAAACGTGCTGGAAAATCTAATTTCCCGTCAGCGTGATTTAACAATTGTGCAGGGTGCAGCGTATCGAACACAGAAGACCGATAATAATACGTACACTGTCAAAGCGGACGGCACTGCTTTCGATGACGTAGTCATTTTAGTAAGATACATTGAATACATATCATTTTTTCAATTAATACAATCGAAGTAACCATTTTTATAACAGAACAGCGTTCAGATTTGTTTTTTAAAGTTCAGACTTAAACTCGAATGTAACCATAAAAATTCAAATTTGAGTATGACCGTTAAATTTAATTCAAACTGAAATATTTTTTAATGTTTCAAGGCTTTTACGCCATCAATGAGATATTTCTTTAATATCACGAAGCTTTTACATCGTACACTTTATTTTTAAACAGGTAGTACTATCAGAAAGCATCGTACAGCAAGAAATTTCCGTGGCGGTATCACTGGAATATTTTATAAATCGCGACGAAAAGAACACGAAAGACAGATACGTTTGGTTATTCGGCGGTTGGAGCTTCTGCTCGGTAAGCTGTGGCGGTGGAACGCGTCAGAAGATGATTGTCTGCAAAGATGAAGAAACAGGCAGAATAGTCTCACGCAGGAAGTGTCCATTGACAACTAAGCCGAGCCAAGAGATCGAAAGATGTAACGTTTTCAGGTACGAACTATGAAAATCTGTTGAATTCCTTTATACGACGTTAATTCAGTACTTCGTTCCATTATTTCACTAATCTTTGAAAATTTCAAATAATATACAAAGACGACAAAAAACTGATGACAGTTGCAGTTTTAAATGGCTATCAGGACCATGGAAAAGCTGCTCGCACGTGTGCGGCAGTTTCGGTGTACAAATGCGGCAACTTTACTGCGTCCATTCCGAATTTAATGGCACCGAAGTGAACAGGATCAACGAACTTGAGGTTTACCGAATGATGGTGCAATCGTCTATTTGTAATACCGCTCGTATGCCAGTGAAAATACAAGAGTGCAATAGAGTGCCTTGTCCTGGACGTTGGATTTTTACGAATTGGTCTTCGGTGAGAGAAAGTCCATTTTCATTGTTAATACTTTTCGTATTCGGTGTATTAATATTTTTCTGCTACACATCTCGTGTCTTTCTGTAATGTCGCAGTGCTCGAAGAGCAAGGGCAAAGGAATTCAGTCTCGAATAGCCAGATGTGTTGCTCCGGTGAACGAAACGTTGTACAACTGCGGTGGGCCTACAGTAAAGACAGAAATACGTACTTGCGTCAGCCACGTGACCAGAGCCATCGAGCTTCCGCCTCGTTGCTGGAAAGATAAGAATTTGTTTTGCTCTATACCAAGTTTAAGACGGTACTGCAATGTTCCGGCATTCAGGAGAAGGTGCTGTCGGTCTTGTCAGACGCACAGCCATCAACAGTTACAGGAAGACACTGATCAAGTGATCCCCAATCTTTGAATAATTCTTCGAGAATTATTCTCTATAAAATATAAGCCTATTGAATCGAGAAAGTTTCGACAAATTGAATGTTGATGTTGACTGCTATTTGAGCGCTCTTTGTGGGCTTTGTAGCTGTTCATATTTATTTAAATAAATTGATCAATGATGAGAAATATTATTCCTTCATGGGCTGGGATAAATGAATGTGTTACGCATCAGTGGATGTCGGACATTTCACGTAATGAGGAAACGTGTATTTATTAAAATTTTCTTTATTCCATTTCAAGAAATTCACAAATCGGTTCACTCTGTGCCTAGAATTCTGAAACACACCAGCATAGACATGGGTACTCGATCCAAAATTATAGTTAAAATGATTATTAGTCGCAATTCGTTGAATTAATGCCCTTACTACGTGCTCAATTTCATTTTCCTTTCCTGCTCTACAAAGTTACAATAGTATAAGTATTGTCTGATTTCCACGTGTGGATCCACATTAGTTTTATTTCTAGTCTTGGGAATAGGCTGTTAGTGTATCGTCCTGGCGAAACGTTTTTGAAAAATTGTCGGTGTAACGCAATCTTTCCGATGACAACATGATATTTGTGATATCGGCGATATTCTTAGCTTAGTCTGATTATGTTGTGCACTTTAACACGTGCATAGATAATTACGTCGTTCATGATATTTATAATTATATTTTTCTATAACATTGTAACTATATATGTAAACCTTCTATACATTATATAATTCATATATAACTCTGGGTACAAATAATCTTTACAAAAATATTAATTTGGGAAGGCAAACTTTCAATTAGAAATTCCTTACCGATACTCATGAATATAACAATAGCATGGCTGTTTTTGTCTACGATACCAAACACAGAAGGAAACGTGTTCCTCGAAGTATTCACTCCTCTAGCATCTAATCAAAATCTGGATTCCTACCAATCTTGACAAAACGTTTCTCATCCCAAATACATTAACAAAAGACCAATATGCTCTACAACTGTGTGTGCAGAAGCTACATCGAGCTTTCTTAACCTCGATACAACTTCTTCAGCTTAAAATATCATATGTTTGACCTTCGAACAGCTGCTCTTAAGGTTGACTGGCTACTTTAATGACTCGAGGTTTCAGTTATCCGTAGCCATCTTTAATTCTGATACCGTACAACGTCCGCCAGACTTCGCCCTCGTGAATGGTATAATAAATAGCTAGTTGTTATTATACACTACTTACACATTAGGTAACTTTACGTTAAGATTTTTGGTAAAATCGGCGACAGTGTTGCCCGAGGGCAACGTGTCGACGTCGTGATTGGTTAAAAGGAAGACTGTTTCTTTGTTCCTTATCATCGACGCGTGAACGATGAAGACTCGTCTATACTAACGATTTAGTGCTTTGGTAAAAGTAACTTGTAGTTCGATCATCACGGCTCGTTGTTGCCCTTCCTCACAATCTTTCGACGTAGTTTCCCGGGAAAGTACCGAAGTAACCGGTCCTTTGACTCGACCCGACGTACCAACCGTCGTCACATTTTTCCATCACATACACCGTGTCTCCCTCTTTCAACTCAAGCTCGTCCTCATTTTGAGGTCTGTAAGGATACAGGGCTCGGTATCTAAAATCAAAATTAAAATATATTATTCACTGTAAAATACTATCTTACCGATATTTTACTTGTCTAGAATTATTTTGTTACAACCGTCAAACACTACGCTGTTGGTACAATGATTTGTGTTCATACAAAGCGTTTCATAGAAATTTATCACGCTTGATTGTATCGTTATTAATACTTATTCGAGAGATTATCTAATATTTCTCGACGGAAACGTACGGTGTCGGCTCGGAGTGTGTGTTGATGTGCAATGCTTCGTTGAGTTGCGTAACATGCAATTTGCTCCCTCCCATACGTGGCTGAAAATGATATAAAATAAAATATAGCATGAATTATTGAATAAACCGAAGAATTATTACTTATAATAATAAAAATTAGTGAAATATAATAAAATTTTATATCGAAGAATGTCTCTATTAATTTTGATCATCAGAATAAAAGATAGTAAATAAATTGAGAACCACTTATATCTTCATTCCTGTCGGATTTTTATTAGAAATAAGAACATATTATTAGAATAACGATATCAATTCTGTAACTCACCAGTGAGTTGTAATGGGGCTGGGTTGTGTTTATATTAACTGGTATGGACGGCATATAATGATGAGGTCCCATACTCATTTTTCCTCCAGCTGATCCGTTTGCTAAGAGGCTGTGCGCCGCTGGAGAAGCAACTGGCTTGCTTTGTGTCGGTGTCTCTGCAATAATTGGTTATCAATGACTAAAATCAGCAATAAAACGTTCACCTTAAAAACAACTGATTACTAGAAATTTCTCTGTCACGTCACACAAAGCAAAATTATATTCCCGGCACACAATTTCATCCTAATTACCTCCTTGCCTTATAATATCGAGTCAGCGACAAAACTGTATCCATACTTAATGCATATGGATATAATTCATCTCGATTTAATAAAATGAAAATACTATTTTTCGCTCTTTCCTGAATAATTAATCTTTACAGTAAATTTCTTTCTACGACAAACATATAATTTCCCCGAGTTAAATTAACTCTCACAATGAATACGTAATCTTCCGTTATACTGATGAATGATTAATAATAAAGTAACTTTTCCAAGTCTAGTTCGAAAAAGAGAACATAAAGCGAGGAGTTCAATTATCATTCGTTAAAAGTCTGAGTGGAATACCTGATCTGTGACCAGGCTCTGTTAAAACTTCGACGTAAGATATAGGGAATATCCCTTTCCTGCTTCCAATTCGTCCCTCGTACCAGTTTTCGTCGACTCTTCTCGTCAGCACGACGAGTTCACCTGTAAATTGAAATTTTACGTTTCACTCGTCTCACTTAGAACCTTTAACTGTACGACGTCTTACCTTTGGCGAGGGAAAGTTCAAGATTCGTTTGAGCGACGAAGTTGAATTTAGCGCGTGCCTGGCCCTCGTAAGGTTTCTTTGGTGTCGTTCGCATGCCATCGTATGGCAAAATCTATAACACACGTGAAACACCATTTATTTCGAAATATTCTCATAAAATCATAACGACTTAACAAACGAGAAGCTAAATCGGCTCCTGAAACTTCGAAACTCCGAGGTAACTTATAATTGGAAACTGAACATTCTATCGGACGATTTGACACTAGAACCACCGAACCACTGAAAGTCGCTAGGTTTAAATTGCTCTACAGTGATCATTTAAAACAATTAATAACCCCATTAGATAACGCGGTATCAGAAACTTAAAAAACATAATTCCACAATGAATATTTCACAAATAATTCGACTAATTTCTCCTATAAGTTTTTTACAGCTTATACAATTGTTACAAGCAGTAGCTACATATTAACACGTTAATCGCCATGATGGTCATCAATAACCAGAGCTCCTAAATTGCTCGAAAGCAATTACAAGAACGAAACCGGCGTCAAGTCGAAATATTTAGTTACAGAAGTAACTAAGTAAATAATAGTATAGCTCAAGAGCTAACACGATAGATGTAATGCAATACCAAATCATTAATAACCAACTCCAATACCATCTGCCTAATATTGTACAAAACGTTGAATATTCTCGCGGCGCTCAACGCGTTAATCATCTTAACCAGTTAACTGTGTTCGACGAGTATACACGTCATCGTAAAGCTTGACATGATACTAATCCTCTCAGCGATGAATTCTTTATTCTTTTACATAAACATGTAATTCTTCTTTGTTTCGCTTTGATCTTTCATTAAAATATACTCTACGCGCATTCGCCCTACGTTCGACGAGTACACGCTCCATTTTTCGATTTTATTGCGCGCAAAACCAGAGGTTTTTCCAACTATATTCCACAGTTAACTGGTTAAATGCTCCATAATTCTAATGCCAAAATAAAAGTTCGTCCCATGTCGTTCTCGTTCTCGAGCAAGAAATCAATCGATTCATAAAAGTCAATTAATAAATTAACCGAGGAGTCGCGAACGTTGTAGAACTGTATATAATTCGATTACACGTATTACCTCAACATAATTCGAGGGGAACAATCCGATCATGGCATTATGTTCACCTTCGTACCAGTTCTTGTCTACCTGGCGGCGGACAAATATAATGTCACCGCGACGGAAATTCAATTCTCTAGGAGACTGGCCGATAAAGTTGTAAAGTGCTCTCGCTACGAGCCGCGGTTCCGGCGTTTGCTCCTGGGATCTGCTTCTGTGGCTGAGGTCGTCGACGAAATCGTCGTAACGGTTCAGAGGAATCGGCGATTTCTGGGATGGTCTGGGAAACGATCGTTTCACGATATAGAATATAAAAGAGATGCTGGTAATTGTTCCGCGTCACGGCTCCCCATAAAAGACACTAGCGCGAATGTTGGATCGCGAGAATAACACTTATAGTGTTCGCGGTTTGTCGTCGTTCGTGTTTATCGTTTTTGTTTCTACGTAAGGTGACGATGTGACTTTATAATAATAATATAATAATATAATATCGTTTAATACGATAGCCTTTCTAAACTACAATCAAGTTTAGGACCCTGAAAATCTGTAGATTAGGGTTGAAGTCTCTTAACCGGTCAGCTTTTGCGACACATTTATCTACACATTTTTTCAAAAATGTTCATTCAAGTAATGTATACTTATAAAATTGATTGCTTGGGCATTAAGTATTCCATGAATCAGTGTTTGGACGAGTATACTCGCCATAATGCTTCGTGATGAGTACATTGGCCAATAACAGCCGACCGGTTAAATCTTTATTACGAGGAGATTGTCGAGTTATCGTTTCGGAATCATTGTTATAATTCTGTATTGCTAGAATCAATATATAATATGTAGAAGATAGATAAAAGATAATATTGTAGAAGCTTCTTGTATGTATATCATCCGTATTTTGCAGAAATTAAAAGACCTAATCGAGAACTCTGAAATTTTCGTTGTATCTTTATCAAAATTGAATTGAAAGTTTTCCCATGTTTCTTTGTTTGAAACGTTGTTTGTAAATCTTCCGGGGTGAAACGATAATTGTGTTGTTTGATGACTGATCAGAGCTGCTAAAAAAGTTGGTAGCCCATTTGGAGGAGCCGTGATTCGGAACAATTGCAGAGAAGGTGCTGTGACACGTGAAAATGAGGTTTTTAAGTGTTAACACTCGCGGGCAGTGTGCATCGATCGGTAGGAAGTGTCATATGCATGCAACTGTGCTCGTAGAATGTAAAAAGTGCAGATCAGGGTCGAGATTTAAATAGATTCTTAATGTTATGAACAGCTGTGAGTCTATAAAGTTGCAGTGATAAATGGCTGCAGCGTTTGTTACTTTCGACTCAGTGCAGTAAGAAATTTGATAAATACAATTTTTCCCTCGATTAAAGCCTGATAGAATTACAATTAATTAATTTTCAACGCTAGCTTCTCTAAATTAATTCATAAATATCTGTCTACTCGAGTAAGTAAACATCAATCTAATAATAACAAACGAATAACGTCACTCATTTTGTTACTACAAAAATATATGAACGATCTATTAATACACAAAAGATTTTCTTTATGTAAACAATCGCCGATAAAGTAATTGGCAAAGAAATATTTATATAAATCTACAAATTATCAAAATAACCGTGGCTTGACATGTGAGAATGAACCCGAATATGTTCATTTTTCATGGGACTCGAAACGAAGGAAATAAGTGAACAATAAACAAATACTTCGCGTTACGCGTTACAACGTAAACAGCTGTTCGGAATACATCAAAACCAAAATCTCGATGAAAGTTGAAGTAAGTTCAAATGGATTCTGATAAAGTGAATGTTACAAATTTTCAGTTCGTCGAAACTACGTCGAGGAGTTTTCATTCGCACGACGATCACGCGTCTAGCAAGCGAGCGACAGTACTTACATGAAGTTGTCGGTATGTCGCCGTGAATCAATATCGTGCAGTTCTTGTAGATATTTGCGACGACGTTCTTCCTGATAAACGCGTCGCATATTCTCCGCACTACGCCGAGCGAGCTCTTCCTCGCTCAATGGCTCTTTCGCCTCTGTACGCACTGGCGAACGGTAGTGAATCGTCACCTCGCCCTCCACGTAACGCCTCGGTGATTCTGCGACAGTGAACCACCGTTATTACTCATTGTTTTCATTTAATCGACACCAGAAAAATATGCATTTCTTATTATCCCTTTTTCGCTTCGTCGTAGCTCCGCCGATTTTACGGCGTCGCAGCTCCACGACTCCCCCAAACATTGTCTTCATCCTAAATCGTGTAAACAACGACGTTTTTATTTCGCAAAACATGTTGTTTTATACATGATCCTCGCGAACATAATATTTTATGAATTATATAAATATATACAATATCTTTCTTTATTCTTTTATCGAGCCCTTGTATTTTATTGCGCGAAACTGCAGGTAAAGATTTTAGAATTCGATAGATGTTTCGCGTATGGGGACTTCACAGTATTATACTGAGGATATGTGTACAATGTGAATGTAAAACTTCCATGCTGGGAGGTTATTAAAAATTAAGTAATCCCCGTGGGGTGGTAATTAAAGGATTTGTGAGGGGAAAGTTGGTTGACATGCTTGAATGGAGATCTGGTAATATTAATTTTGAAAATAAGGAAACGATTCCATTCTAGGTATAAAGCACTACACTATTTTTCTGATGAACGTCAAAGCTAGACTGAATTATTAAAGGATAACTTATCGAAAGGTTGCTCCTGAATTGCTTTTTAATTGTATTCGAATGTCACGGTTTCCTAGTGGACATTCACGATATTGTAATTGTAATTATTTATCATTCAGACTCTGAAATCTCACGCTGCGTAAGATAACACTCGCGAAACGAGAGACGTGTATCTGCGTATCGTGTATCGCTGTCCTAGCTTATCTAGAATGCTGATCTACATGTGCCTGAGTACACGCTAATTATTTAAATTTTCGTGTAACTCCCTTGTCCCCTTGTTACGACATTATAAATGTGAAACGAACTAGCTGGCAATTGATGGAATCAGCGATTTACGAATGGAGAAATTAATGAAATTACAACACTCCGTTTCCGTCTTGAGAAGCGATCAAGGAGAGAAAGGGAACCGGTGATCGTTCATACCTGAGACATTGTTCCTATTAAAATCCATTATCAAACTGGCAAACGCATGCAAACTGAAAATCTATCTTCGTCATTTTAAGTTACCATTTTATCGGAAAAGATCAAATATAAAAAGAAGAAGGTAACCAAGCTATTCATTAGGAAATCATTAAAATATTCCTACACTACGCAAAATTCATTCATAAAATACAACTGAATCTTCGCAACGATCTCCACAAATAAATTTCCAATAAAATAATTTAGCGAACAATGGCCGAGAGTCATTCAATTAAATCACATCGACGGAATACCCCTTTATTTCGCCTCCACCGAGCGTGACCGGTTCCTTTTATGTCACTTACGTGCACATTAAACATGAATATATTAGGAATCGTACTGCTATTCGTCGAAATTAATTAACACCGCTTAACGATGGCTCCTAAAGAAACTATTAAACCCGTCTCGATCGAACGTCCAGTTAAATAACCCCTTAAGAATCCCACGCGCGATTCGAAATTCAAACACATTCGAAATAACGCCGTGAAAACTTTCTCGAGCCGATTTACATGGAAAATATCAGACGCAGAAAGAGAACGTATTCATGGAAAAAAAAGATGTGCGTGTCTACTGACTGTATGGAATCGGTCCGTAAACTGAAGGAAGCGTGGTTCCGGTCCCGGAAGCTCCGCTGATCGAATTCACCTGATCGGACAAAGCCCTGGTGAACTCGGCCGGCCGTGGCCTCCGCGCGTTCGTGTTGGTCCGGCGATCGTGCACCGAACTCTTCGAATTGTACACCAGCTGAGGCGACTGCAATTCTTCCGCGGCCCTACGATCGACCCTGTTTTCCCCTCTGTAAGTCAACGAACCTTCCCGGAAGTCGTCGTCAGACTCGTCCTTGATCACCGTCGCTAATCCGTTTAGAGGACGGTCGTAATCTCGAATCAAAGACACGTCGACGTTTTCCAGTGCCTGCAGCTGCTCGTATCGCTCGTTGACCTTGGACAAGTCCAAGGGAGCCGGGATCTTCGTGATCCTCACTCTACGCAAGCTCATACCGTGCGAGAGACTCGGCAGATCAGCCTGAGATGCGAAACGATCGTAGCTACGTTCGAATTTCCCGCCAGAATCGGCGCCACGCTTAACAGGAGAAGCACTGTCCTCGATGAAATCGCTCTGGGAAAGGGAAGCAGACAAATTCGGCAGCGATTTGCAAAGATTCTGCTGGCAATAGCTGCTTCTTTCTTCCTTCAGTGAGCTCGCACCGATTTCATTCGACTTTTCCCGCGCAATGCGCGCTCGCGCGGGAGATTTGAAATCGAAGTCCCGGATTTTCGGCTTTAACTCCTTGTTTTCGGAATCTTCGCCAAGTTTCTTTGTCATTCCGTCGTCGCCGTTATCGAGGGACGTGTTGGGCGAGACGTTCTCCGTATTTTCGAAATTTCTTGAAACCTTCTGGCATCGATCACCCGAGTAAATTCGGTTCGGTGATTGACCGGTGATACGATTTTCGGTAACTTCTTTCTCTTTCGCGTCCTCTGGATTCAGCTCTTCGATTTCTTGATGCTGCAAGTCCGATCGGGGGACATCGCGTGGACTTAGACAATCTTTTTGGACGTCACGGAAATTGGATGAGGTGTTTTTTGCGTAACCTCTGGGCGAGGTTCCTGTTTCCAATTCCGGCGTGATGTTCACCCGACTTCGAGGCTTTCTGTCTATGCTGCTGATCGATGATTGGTTGCTTTGACTAGTCAGCGTCTCCGTGCTACCGAATCCCATGTTGTTGTATTTTCGTCTGTTCTCGAAGTCTTTGGGAATGTCGGTGACGTAATTGGAGAAGAACTGTCTTCTCAGGTACCTGTTCCTCTCGAAGATCTCGTGAAGCCTTTCTCTGGTTCCCTTGTAGTTTGAGTTCGAGAGTTTCTCTTCGTTCATCGATTTCCCATGGTCCTTTTCGTAGTCTTCGGAGTAGCTGTATGGTTTCTGACTATTGTTTTCGAACTGATCCTGGTAATCCTCGAAGAAGTAGCTTCTCTCGAACTCCGTTTTCGGCTTCCAGTTCCAATGATCGGGAGTGGTTTGCCGACGACTTTCGAAATCGTCGATCCATACGGACGTCGCTTTTTGCATCTGCGGCATCGAGTGTCTTTCGTAGTTCTGGTACTTTGGTACCGGTTTCCGGGAATGTCGGTGATTGTTCAAATGACACATCTTCTCGAGATCGTTGATCTCGTTAGCCAAACTGGCCCACTCGATACTCTTCTCGAGATCGTCGAGCTGCGTTAAGTTTCTGTCCGACATTTTCACTTCGAGTCTTTCACTAATTAAATAAGAATGTCGTGGTCCATCGTTACTTTATTGGGAGCACTGTTTAGCATTATTAAAATGAGATAAAATCGATTAATCGATGCACGGGCTATTCAGCTAATAAGATATTTCTCTCGTAAATGGTAAATATAGAAGAACCGCGGAAGAACCAAGTTTGTACTATTTTTTATAGTCAATATAACAGCGTATGTGTTGCGTCATTGACTGTTTGCCATTCTTGTTCCTCCGAAAGTATCACAAACATCGAAACTGCACACGCTTTTATCTTGTTTATAAAAGACAGAACTTTGTCCTTCGTATCATTCTGTGGCACGATATTTTTTACTCAAATTAAATCATGTATAATTTTAAGATGATTAAATAATCTTCACTTAAACCCGAATCTTTCCCGAAGAAGAAACTAAAATGTGTTTTATTTTTCAAAACATATTTAAATTTTATATGATCTTCTCTCATATTTCAGACGATTAACGAATCTTTTCACGAAGAAGAAATGTCGGTTTCGAGTCTACAAAAATCTTTCAATCTTTTGACTTGTGTATCAGTTAGATGAATAGTTAGCGAACGAACGGGACTCGGTTCGTTGAATAAGCCACGGGAGGGAGAAATTCCCAGCGAATGGAATAAATAATATTCTTTGTTTTTTTTCTCGCCACGTATGGCCGAGCGTTGTCATGCCACTGAATGACTTGGCTAGTTCCGCTACCGGTAGATCCAGTTTTTTCCACCCTATTTCATCGCGCAAATGAATGAGTTACTGTTGGTAACGCTCTGAATTAATAGTCCGATCAGATTGCAGCAACGCATGATATTCAACACCCTTAACGTCCCACCTTTCGCATTATAATCAGGCTTAAGCTCCATTCACAAAGCCCTGCGTTCAGGATTGCACGACACTAATCTTGTATCATCGATTAATATTTTATGGAAAAACACGAATCCGTCGACATTGGCCTAATTGTACTTTCCGTCGAAAGAATATCTTCTGTGTTGTAAAATTCATAGTAAGCAAATTACAATGGTAATGAAGCGTTTAGATTTTAAAGCGACTCAATAGGAAGTTTTCGAAATAATTTTAATAATTTATATATAAACTATTTCAATAATAATATTCTTATAATAACTATTTAATAATTATATATGAATTTTTAATAATTTGAAAGTTTTTTAGTCGTTTCTATGAAGTGATGTTAGAATCAACGAATTTATAATTATAAAATAATTGTTCCCCTCTAAATAAAAGGAACGAAACGTTTGAGTAACCTTAAAGTGGTCTGCAAGGTACAGGTAAAATTTGGTGAGCGAACTTCTCGATTAAGTTAATTATAGATCAGATCTTTAAATAGCTGTCACGTTATCAATTTAATAAGAACTGGTCGAGATGCCGAATGTCAAAGTCGTAAGGTCAAGGATGCACGATTATTAAGACAGCATTTATGAATCCCTCGGAACGAAATCTTGGATCGCACAAGCGAAAATAGATCGCACGTCTAACGTGAAGGAATAAGTTCATCGTATGAACTTATTTCAAGCCAAAAACCGGAAGTCCGTATTCGACTTGAACTTTCTAATTTGCAGATATTCTCCAATCCCGTGATTAAACGTTATGTGTACGATTAAAAATCTATTTTGAAAGGTGGTAACGAACGTTACGGTTGTTGCACGGCTCGCGGAGATCTTGTCAGACGAGGCTCAAAGCTGCCGGAAGTTTGCAATCCACGGCTTTCGCGCGTTTTCGTTTCTATTTTCTTTCATTTTTTTTCCTTGAACAAGCGAAAACTATGAATACTCCGCAATTCTTTTTCCCCGACGTGCAACAGAGAACAGTGATCCTAATCGAGCTTGCAACTCTATGAATGACAGTATATTGTCTATTTGAAAAACGCGACGTTTAGACTATACAGGCCGTCCCATTCGTCCCGATCGCTTATAAAGTAAGCGAATAGAATATTTTTGAGCGTAATGAGTACGGGTAGTCCGATTTCTCTCGAGTATTGCGAAAGTATGGAACAAGGAAGCCTAATGCGAGCATGCAGGATGCGCGTGGAGAAGAAATTCTTCCTGAAACCAATATTCTTGCTCGTGTTGTTCATGAGAACTATACGGGTAATGTGTTACACAGATTCTACGCGAAAGAAGTGGATCATTAGAGTAGGTGAAATCGTTCTCCGATAAAAAGTGCCGCTCTTCCTCGTGAACAAACAATTCCACGGTGCAGGTCGGGATGTGACTCCTAATTTGAATAGAATGCCAGTTATGAGCGTGCAGCTTAACACCTTTCTCAAGGGGAGATTTCGCCTCTGAGCGTAACAATGTAATCGTGTTCCGCCGCGATAACCACTTAGTTTAATACTTAATTTAATTTAACTATTAATTTCAACGACCTCGGGTCCTGGTCGAAAATTGGCCAATCGGAAATAGTGTTTTTGCCATTATTATTGTTATTATTATTATTATTATTATTATTATTATTATTTAACATGGACTTTGCGATGACAGATCATCTACTTATTCAATCATATCAAGTTAACTAAGGTTCATTTTTAAATTACTCGAATGTATAATATGAAACATTAAAAGTTACATTTTCTGTAACACAAACTTCAAATTGATTGTTTTTGTGTATTAGTATAGTAAATTGTGTAAATGATTGTTTTTCGAGTTGATACACAATTAATTGATAGAGAAGGAATATGAATATAATTTTGTTTTTGTCTGTAGCAATGGTATCGTTGAAAGTTGATTGCATTTCGATTTCTTAATCGATGAGCATTATCGATGTTGAAATTAGCACTGTTTTTCCTCTAGCCTTTCGATTTTAGATTTAAGGTGTTAATTAGCGATATAAGAGGCTACCGATGGTATCAATTACATTTATTACCAGAACCGGACTTTACATTGTGCAATTAAAAATATTAATTAAAGCCCTAGCCACCGGTTGCTCAAGCATAACGGACAATTTCTATTTCGTATCTTTTACTATCAGCCAATTAATTCTGCACTTGATCGAAAGGAACCGCCTATGGAGTTTCTCCGCGGGAAAGGATTCGCGTTATCCTTCATAATATCATAGATTTTTATTTATAATTTACGTTTCGTTCGGTTTGTCTATACGAAAGAAGCAGAATGAACGTATGTAGATTCATTTTGATTGACAGCAAGAATTCTTGAAACGCTTGACACGCGAAGAGAATCAATCAAATGTACATTATTAATAAAAAATCCTTTCCCTTTAATGCTTTTCTATGTTTTCGTGTACGTATACTGCAAGCAAACAATACATATATATGAAATAATCAAATGTAAACCATTTGCTAAATGAAATTTCCTCTGTAATAATGCTAATAGTATGTGCATACCATTAGATATTACAATAGTATGTTCCTTCTAAAGAATATTTGTAGGAATGACATATTCGTTTGCAATACACAGGGTGAATCACGTAGAAGCAATCACGCAGATACGTCCAGTACTCGCAGCAATATAGAAAATCTGTTTAAAATTACAATAAACTATTCAAAGAATCGACTAAAGTTACACGAAACAATTTCTCATTCTTCTCTTCCCATCATTTCCTACATCTCCACAAAGAATACATTTACGTAATCTATTCAGCAAACTTCCCCCTTATCATTATTATTCCCCAATCACAACACCGAGCACGAATTATCCTTCGCGTCGCCACTAAAAAATTCTTCTCGAAACACATTCTGCAAGCGGAACACATAAAACCGCAATGAACTCGTAACAAAACGAATAGCCTTTTTTTTCACATAATTCTATGCCGATAAGAGAAATGGGACGCGCAGATTTCCGTCGCACATCCTTTCCAAATAACACAATAAAAGCGACGCGAATTCGCTGACCGTAATACGTTTCAGTCCGAACGTTAATCTTCGCGCAAAAAAAGCCGAGGATACTCGCGTTAACTCTAACGCGGCGCGGTGAATTATTAGTCGTAAACCATCTCGCGAAGAATTTCTATTTGCAAGTATGATACGAGTCCATGCCAATTCTAGCGTGCGCATACTTCGGAAATATCGAAGGAAACAGGCCCGAGCACAACCGAAAATAAAACGGTGACGCTGCTGTGTTAAGCATAAGATAACGGGGCTGACGTAACTGCAATTGAGACACTATTCGTCGAAGGACGTAACGAAAAATCGCGGATCAAGCGCGCATCCGTTGATTTGTCGCTTATTTCATGGCTCGACGTTTCACGTGTTAATCGCACCACGCCACTCGCCCGTGAACACGAGCTCGAACACTTTATAATGCTTCGCGTTATCACTGTTCCACGACGAGGAGCGGAGTATTTCCACTTTTCCGCTCTTTTTCACAGTCCGGCCGACACGTTTCGCTTTCGACTCGCGAAAAACCTGACGCGTCTCGCGCGGAGGAGCCTCACGAGAAACTTCTTGCGACGCCGGACGATCCGGCCCGCCAGTCCCTCGGCGAATCGTGATTCATTGCGGCGAAAACCGGCGGCGTTCGATGGAAAAGCGAACCACCGGACGCTCCTAACCACGATGATCGGCTGATAAAGTTATCGCGTGTGCACGTTGAACTCGCCAGTCACAAACAACGGTTCTTCTTCGCCGTGAACGGGCGAAACCAGCCGATTCGCGCTCCCTCCACTTTCCGCGCGATTCTTCCTACCGAGTTATCGTTATTTTTGCTGCAAACGCTCGAATTTTCTGCGCGCCGCGACGTGCACCTACGCGATGGCGATTGGAACAGTAATTGACACTAATCGTACCGCGATCGGGTTTCAGATTTCGTGGAAAATTCTGCAGTTTTTTCCCGTCCGTCTGACTTTATATCAGTTCTTGTATCGTCTGGTTAATCAGTTTACCAGTTTGTGTTTGTCCTTTCCTTTCCCTTTTCACTAGGAAAAATTTGGTGTTCAATTTGTTTATGTTTTTATTTTGTAACATAGATGTAGGTGTTTACAAAGTGTCGGTATACTGAGTGTTCACAATAGAACTGCCGAGCACTTAACCGTTTAGGTTGCGAATAAAAGTTTTGGGAAAAATAACATTTATTTTCAGAATATACGTTGACCAGTCATTTTTAACAGAAATAGATATTTTATCAAACATGTTTCAAATGTCAAAAAATGGTAGTGATTACTACGTTAATTTTATACTGATGGCATCGCGACTAGGCCATTGATTCGCAGTTTACTGATAGTGAAATATGTTAAACTGATTTTTCCAAATTTCTTTATGAAAACTATAATATATTTTTGAGTTTCATTGTATCAGAAAGGGGATTAATAGTTTTCTTTGAGTAACCGTTCGGAAGGAGATTAGATTGTGCTGTCTAAAATGATTTGTTGAATCACGATCTTTATTGCTACTGAAATATTTTCGATTTTGATTGTGAAGCTTCAATAACTACTGGCAGATAATGTGTTAATAGTGTCTTTGAATATTTTTCAATTTATTTGGGAAACTAAGAGCTTCAGGTAGAATCTAACTATATTACGCGACACGATATTTCTCTTATTTCAATATTTAATAGTCATGACTATTGAAGCAGGTTCAGCAAGATTAAAATTTTATGAACGCCGATTTCATCACGTTCTTGGCAAACTTTTATTGAGGTGATAAACTGCTATCTGATCTTTGTTTTAGTCAATCGACGCTTAAAAACGTGAATTTGCATAAAGTGTCAATCAATTCTCATTTTATCTTCAAGCAAAAGAACCTTTTATTCGTTAAGCGTATTTTTTCTTCGTGAAAAATAGAAATTTGCATGATCGTCCAGAATTTTGTACAAGATCATTCGTTTTTATTGATATTTGCATTCTGTCTTTCAGATGTTATCAAGTTTCGCGGGAATGAAATATTCTGGAAAATTCAGCCGGGCTACGCGTTATCAGTTTTTGGTGAAGATTAGATACGCAGTAATACACAATCGATATCACAATGTGGCTCACTTCTTTATAAATATCAATGATTCCAATGGCGGATAAAGTTATCTTTAAGGGTCCAACATTGTCAAGGTTTCTTTCACACGAACGAACACTGCGTTGGTTTGTTTGCCTGCACTAAGTGCTTTATCTATCTCGTCTACCGGCAAGATCGTTCAAGTTCCTTATCAACTGATGAAAGTATATAAAAGAGAAAGTCATAATATTTATACAGAAACTGTAGCATTTACCAGTTGTATCGATCGTTAAAATATTATTACAGAAAGAAATTTTGAATAATTTTACACAGTACATTCCATATATTTTCATTATTATCAAAATATTGATATCGTTGCTTAAGATATTCATCGTAACATATGAAATAAAGCTTCTCTGCCTAAATTTTAAGACTGATATTAATCTAACCATTATCAAAGTGAACCACTTATCGCGTCTTAATTATCTTGATTGCGTGTAAACTATGGGACTAAATACAGTCATTATATTGACGTTCATATAAACTGAGTTATTAAAGAAATGTATTAGAGATAGATACTTAGTATTATTATATCAAGTATTTCATTACAATTTCATTTTTTGTTAGTAAAATTAATTTAACAATACATTAAAATAGAATAATAATTTTATAGTCAAAATTATAAAATTAATCTCACTGTAAAGTGACAGTATAAAATATTATTAGTGGCCTTTGCAATGAAAAAGAAAATATTTGGACCTCGGAATAACCTGCAAGAGAGCCTTGAAAGAACTTTTCCTTTATCATTGCCAAATTCATGTTTTGAAAGCAAATAAACTCTTCTCACCCATTCTATATTTACTTTCAATACCAGCGAAAATTATTTACACGTTAGTGTCTTGTCGTAGTCATGTCGTAGAGAACACTATATAGACATTCGTGATTTTATCTTTCAATTATTTTCTATAGAATATAAATTAAATTTCGTGCAGAAGTTCAACAGATAATTAAATGATCTTCGTTGAATGCACAATTTACAATTAATAAGATCAATTTTTAAAGTACACGGCTGTTTTCGTGGACATTTAATATTAATACCTGCTATTCTTCAGTTTCATGAATAAAGGTCTGATATAAATGAATTATTCTCTATAGAATTATTACACTCTAAGGATATGAATGATTTATCTCTCTATCGTGAGATTATTCCATTCGCGTCGACGTACGCCATTGTTATCCACTGTTTATTTTCTTTTTAAATAGTAAATACTTCAAAACAGAATACTACATATCTCGTGACCATGCTTCATCCATTGCAAAACAATCACTCCCCCTCCCCCGCAACATAAAAGATTGCATCTCATGTCATGCATAACGAGCAAATTTCATGCTCTGTTTCGTCCAACGGCGGCAACACAATTTTACTTCGCTAGAAGTAACTCGAATTATATGAAACAAATAAAAATATAAGCTCTGCATCCTGCTAAAAGCGCCTCGATAAATATTATTCGTTGACGTATGCAAATGAACAACATTTTCACCTCATGATGGTATCCACTAGATGATTCGTGCCGCTCGTTATTCGCCGGCATATGGTCATAGCGGTAGGAATCATCTGTTCAACCCTTATGCAGTGAGATTATGCGTAACAAAGATGATACCGATGATTCATTGATAGCAAACGATACGTAGCATCTTGTACTCTCGTTGCGTGTCTAATCGATAGACTACACTGCTATATACTCTGTTAATGAGTAAAAATAAAAAACAAAAAAAAAAGATGTTCAGCTTATAGCGTTACCTTGGCAGTCGTCTCTGTGATGCTGAGATTTTGGTGGCGGCGGGGGTGCGTTCGAGTATTCTATAGCCGAAAAAAAAGGAAAAAATAATAATTAGCCGCGCTACAATGAGTAAACGAACGAAAATCACTCGCCACGGTGAATCACTGTGAAAGGCTTATTGTTAATGGAGGTTCTCCTTCAACGAAACCCGACGAAACTTTTGGTTAATGGAGGAATGTGTTGCTCGGTATCGATCGATATCGGTATCTCGTCCCGATCTTTCGTCCTTATCCGCGAACTTGGACATCGATTCACACTTAGAATATTCTTCACGGCCCACAACGAACTCATAAACAACGAGAGTTCGAAACTTTTTGCATTCACAGTCGCACCGTAGTTTGGCCGAGTGAAATTTAGCGAATCTTGAAACTCAACGTTTTCAACTGGAATCCGAGTGAAACTTTCAATTTAGTATCCTATTAGTGAAAATTTAGAAACCAATTACATTGTTGCTTTCAATTTCTTGGCATCCAACAACACGAATACTTTAGATTTTGCAACTCTGTTTCTTGAAATTTGTGTTTATCTGACAAACCCTTTGCACTCTGGAAACGTTTTAACATGTCCTTCCGAGAGCTCGATAATTAAAAGCAAAATTTACAAGGAAATATGTAGGATTTCTTTGCTGTGAATAAGAAACACTAGATTCGATCGTTCATACAGCAATTTATTTGAGTACATTTACATTTTATAATGTTTCAAAGTATGATATCAACAACTTAACTAGGAATTATATTTTATAATAGTTACGATCCTTTTTTTCGTACCGTTTACTGTTTAAACTTTCTTTGACCATCACTGTAATTACGTCCAACAAGAAGATTGAAAACTATTCCTGCTAACACAAATGGTACTCCGAGTTTCCCGAAAGAACGTAGAATGCCAGCACAGATTCCGAGTGCAAAGGGTAAAAGATACATTTAATTCACGCCAGAGTAACAAAGTACAAACAAATGCGCAATTACGTACTTCCATAAACTGTTGCACAAAAATGGTCCAATATAGTTTCAAAAGCGTAATCTGTATATTACGTAACACTCTAATCGTAAACTCCGTACAACACCCTAGCTTTCGATAACAAATCGCACGTACGCGGAAATAGACCAGATAAAGGGCGAGAACAAAAAATCAGAAGAAAAAACAGGAGAAAAAGATCTGTCAACACAATCACCGACTATCAACACATTCCAGAAGCTACCATTTACGATCTACCGTTCAGACCTTCGAAAGTGACAGTCGGTCGAGCAGCGTAGATCGGAATCGGCGAGCACCAACTGTGTTTCTGTCGATTCCGGGATCCCGAGGAAGTTGGCGGAGGCGGTTGGTACCTAAACCTAGGCCTGTGCTTGTGAGGATCGAACTGTTGACTGGACACTTCCCTGTTCGAAGCAGTTTTCAATCTTCCCGTCTTCCTCTCTTCATTCACCTCTGTCTTTTTGGCACTGACATGTCCCTCACTTTGCGAAGAGGATTGCCTGCCAGCGAGATCCGGCGGCGAGGACAAGGATCTCATGTTATCTTTCCTATTGGGATACCTGTGAGCGACCCAGCGCCCGGCAAGATAGGGAGCTATGTCTCTTAGTTCATGAACATCCGGGGACGAGGTGAACATCTCGCCCAAGATCGAAGTCTTCTGACCAAACTCTTCGAATTTCTTCCGCATACGGCCGACAGGTTTCTTCGCCTCCAGCTCCTTCGTTTCGGCCTTCCTGACCAAGCCATTGCTAGCGGTCGAGGTACCCAAGGAGTCTTTCAATTCAGCTGTCTTACTGATCACATCGATATGAGGCATGGACAAGTCTTCTTTCTTAAGTGGGACCCTAGGAATAGGTGGTGACTCGCCTCTCCTGCCTCTTCTAGCCTCGTACTTCCGCCTCAACCAGGCTACATCTGTAAACTCGCGGGATCTAGATGATCTATACTGATCCACTTTGTTCAAGAGACTCCTGGCGAGCTCGGGATCGCTGCGGAACCTTTTAGGAGGTTGGACCTTGCCGCTGGAGATGTCTTCAGCGCTCTCGAATTTCACTCTGAGCTGTTTGACGGTGCCGTTCTTGATCAATTTCTGATAAGCCCGCCAATATTTGCCTGGATCCGGCGAGCAGGATCGCTGATAGACGCTTTCGAGGCTGCAGGACGAGTTGGACCGAGTGGTAGCGCGGTACGGACTGACGCTACGCGGCCTGTCGTGTTCACGGTCTCGCGAGCATTGAAACTGTCGCGTGACACCGTTCTCTGTTTTGCTTCCTGTCCTCTTGCCCGGCAGAGTCGCGAATCTAGCTGACTCGATCTCGCCGAATAATTCTTTTAAATCTGCGAAACTCTGGGAGGAAGACAACCTCGCTGGCTTTGTTCTTCGGGGGCAGGTCTCTGTTTTAACGTTTTCGAAGAACTCGATCTTCCTGGGGACATCCTCCGGCTGAATGGTCTTTTGGATTACTGTCTTCACCGATGTTTCAGAGCTACCTGTTGTGCTGTCCCTCTCACTGCTTGAGTTGGTTGTCTTGGCTTGGACGTTATTCTGGGGTAACGAAATTGCTAACAGGGGTGGTTTTTTCGACCATTCCTCTAGGACATTCTCCACGCGCTGTCTGTCAGCTGGACATCTGTTGTTAGGCGTCAGGACCAGCAGGAAGTCATTCTTAGCTTTCGAGGAGCTCTCAGTTTCTATGGAATAACAGCTTCTGGGCGATGTGTTTGTTACACTGGGCGGACTAGTTTCTTTAGGGAGTTTCTGGGTAGCTAACATGGCGGCCACACTGCCGCGAGTCTCTCGAGGAGTTAACGCGACTGACAGCGTCTTCTGAGATATCCTGTCTAAGACTTCTTTACCAAGAGTGACCGAAAGTCTCTTTTTCTCTGATTCACTCATAACTATTTTGTTTGTTGGGCCGGTTCGCAGTTCTTCGGAAAACTTTCGAGATTCCGGGCAACTAGAGCAAGACTTTCGGTTGCTGGGACCTGGATCGGATGCGATCATCGAGTGACACCGCACGTGTAATCCCTTTCCTTCAGTCCGGGAACTGTTGTCTGTCACTACGATCTCGTATTTCTGGAGAGAATCCGGGGCATCTGGAACGTCTGGTTCAGTTTTAGACGGCGCGGACTTCTGCTGATCGCTGCCATAGATTTCATTCAGCTGTTTCTTCAAGGTAGCTACCTGTTCAATGGACAAGCTGCTCCAAAATTTGTTGCTACCACCAAGATTCCTCTGCAAGTGATCCAATCTGGCGTTTTTCTCTTCACTCGTCCTCTGTTGTAAAGTATTAGCCACATTCACCACTGACCTGCCTCTCCATAAAGGTTTATACGTGTCCAGAGTTTCCTTCTTTCTTGAGAACTCCGAATCGTCAGTCTGCAACTTCTTTAATCTCTGCACGATGTCCTCCACCGAGCGTTCCTTGAACTTTAGACCCCAGTCGCCTTTCCACTTCAGCTTGTCCAGGTCCTTAGTACTGAACAAAAGATCCTTGTCCCTCTGGACAGCCTTCAGTTTTCCATAAAGTTTGCTCATCTCGATTTCTGCCTTCTCCTGCGACCTAACTTTCTTCCAACGATCGTAATCTATCATATCCTCGCTCCTCATTTTCGCTAGATCGCTGGAAGAAAATGTTCTCTCCAGCTCGCCGAGCCTCTCCAGACTGGAATAGAAGTCGTGAAGCTCTTTGTACCTGTCAGATTTCTTTCTTTCGTGTAATAATCCTAGTATGTACTGATGGTACTCCTCGCGATCAGCTGGCGAGAGGGACATCGAACTCCTTGTCAATGATGAATTTGATCCTAGCTTCGACGACCTACCCTGATATCCTTCAGCGCTTCTAGCCCTGGGAAGATCAGGTTTGTCTTGCTTCAGACATCGCAAACGGCGACAAACGGCTGATCTGATGGGAGAAGGGGGTTCATCGGACGACGGTTTCAGTGGTGGCTCGCTTAAGCTTCTTTCCTTGAACTTCACTGAATCTGGACTTTGGCTCAAGTTTGTGGATGATCCGTAGTCATCGAATTTACCAATGGACGAACTACTCTCCCAGTTTTTGAATCTTGAGTTCGACACTGATCGCTTGTTTGCTAAGTAGATGCTCAAGGATTTCAGTGATGGCTCAGATCTGTAAGTGTGTTTCGCGTTTTCTTGATAGATTCTGGCGCGTTCTTGAACTATGGATCTCCTCGGAACAGTTTCTGTTGGAGAAATGGATCTTAAAAACAGATTCTGGAAAAACCTGTCTTTCGATACGTTTTGTCTAATGTTAGGTTCTACATTTTCAATGTTCTCCTTCTTTAGACTTTTCGTATCTGAAGTTATCATCTTTCTATCTTTCTTCTTCTTGGTCTCGATTTTCTTTTTATTCGGACTCACTTGGATAGTTTCAGGCTTGCGTATGGATGACCTGACGATGGTTTGCGGCTTCTCGAGAATCCTTTTCCTTTTATTTGCTTCGTTGATCGCCTCAGAAGAAGAAGACGTGACTGAACGTAAACATTCACGGCTTGAGGCCAGTTTAGGAGGTTGCCTGACAACTGTCCTGGACTTTCTGGTGTCCGCTAACACCGAAGAAGACTTCAACGGAGATAACGTTGACGATTTCGGAGCTAAAGGTTCAATTGACTTTTTAACAGTCTTCTGACTCTTCGGTATCACCGGTGTCTTCGAAGATCTATCATCTAAGGCTTTCGAAGCGTGTGGAACTAAGCTCCTGCAAGTTGGCGGGACCTTCTCAGTCGAATCCCCAAATTTCACTAATCTTTTACTCGACAAACGCGTTCTTGCTTCGTTCTTCACAGCTTCAGACTTCTTCGTTCCAACTAATTTCGACGTTGAACTGCTGAAAACAGGACTGTGCAAGGATTCTCGGTTCCTCCTGCACCTGTCCAAATTCGAAGAGACACTGCTCACTTTGTCAGCGGTGAAACATTGCTTGTGTCTGGATCTAAGGGTTTGACAAGTCTCTTTCGTTTGTTGCTTAGCGTACATCTTTAGAGTCTTATTGTTTCGCGATGACTGTCTTCGTGGCGGAGATGGCGGTCTCAGCGAAATTCTGGAGCTGTTCATTTTTCTCGTTGAACTATGAACGGCGGAAGCCCTGCCGAGTGTACTGGTCGGAGGCGTCGCTGGCGATTTCCGGTGGACACGGATACGCGTCAGTGTGGCCGAAACAGGAAAATATTCAACGGCTGAGTTGTCTGTGGACAGAGTTTTCATTTCGTTTTGCTGGACTCGCGGGAATTGCCGAAGAACCCTTTCACCGAGAAGAAATTTTCTTGATTTTCAAAAGTTAGTGTTGCTGAGTTTCGTCCGGCGCAGCGTGAAGATTGGAATTTTGTTCTCCTTTGGTGGTGGTAGCTGCTGGTGCATCGTATTTGAAAGGTTCAAGCGGAATCGAATTCAAGTTTCACCAATATCAATAGATACCGAGGCGAGCGGTGCTGTGTGTGTGGGTGAACGTTTAAGATTCAAAAAAGAAATGCATCAGAAACGAAAGCTGGACTAGCTGAAGTTGTAAGCAGTGTTGGAGAATATCTCTTATCTACCATTGTATTTGTTAGAAACATGAAAAACATTGCGCGTTCTTCACGCAAATTCTACTTTCTTCTGGGAACATCTCTTAAGCGACACGCCCAGATTTCAATGAAATTTTATTCGCAAGGTACTTGGAAAATTAAATTCTCGTGCTAGTATGCAGAGAAACGTAAACAAATGTAATACATATGAAATATGTGTAATATTAATTTTCCACGGACAATTCTTGAATTTATAGAATAAACAATTCATGAAAGATTAAAAAAGTTATCAAAAAATTATTTAATTTCATATTAAAAATTATTTTATTTCATAAAAGCTTTTTTCAATTAATGTTTTATCATTATTTATGTCGGTTAGCACACTATGAACGTAACGATAACAAAGAATTAATTTTGTTTTATATTCGACAATGTAAAAGTTGCAATTAATTTGGAACGTGTCGCTTAAATAATATGTCTTGATAAATTATGAATAAAAAGAAATCAAACACGACGCCGTCCATGCACAGGCTTACTGAACTCCGGTTAAAGTTAGAAATCACAGAGAACGATAATAAGTTTGGCAAAAAACGAGCAGTTCAATGCATACATGCCTGTTTGCGTGAAATCAAACAACACCAATATAGAATAGAAAACTTTGCTCAAAATTTTTGTAGGAAAAACAAAAACATTTGCAAAAACGAGACTTTTTTTCATTCACGGTTACTCACCCTTCGGCCGTTCCGGGGCTGGCTTACGGAGTCCATGAAGAGGAACGTCACCGCCGCTCTGCACTGTCTTGTAAGCCAATCTCTGCTCGAATTGACTCAGAGGAATTATGTCCTCCTTACGGCGAAACACGAGCGTCGAATCACTTTCGTAGCCAGATTCTTTGAGAGCACTGAAAACAAACGACGACACCCTTGAATATTATTTATATTTTAACGCGACAAAAATAAAAAAGTAAAAATAAAAACAGAAAATAATGATTAACGTGACTGATGATAAGATAGTTGAATATAAGATTGAATTTTTCAGTATTGTCTTTTAAATAATTTTAATTATTTATATTTCTATTGTTAACCCTGTGACATTATTTTACTAATATATAGAGCGATAAATTTTAATATAAGAAATTTTATACAAATTTGAGTAAAAGGTTACTCCAAGAAAATGAGAGTTGTTTAAAAACGAGTTCTTTTATTAGACGAAATACAAAGTAAGTTAACTGATTTAAATATTACGATCACTTACTGTGTCATGTACGGTTTCACCGGACGATTGTCACGTTGATCGAACGGCTGAAAGCAAACGAGAGGGACCAAATTATTCGGCAGCTCTTGTATAGATTTCCAACATCATCGTGTAGATCATGCTGCCGGGGGTCAATAGAAACAACAGTAGTTCCACGTAAAAGAAGAAAATTTTCGGTGGGCAACGCGTGGTCGACACTAATTGATCCATAAAACATGCGACATTCGGCTAATGCTAAGCTGTGGAAATTGACAACGAAAGGACAAATGAAATGCTGTTCGGGTAATGTGGCTGACACAGAAGACAGAAGCGAACAGAACGAGAGTTTCGTGTGTGAACATCGATAGCAAGAAGAGAAAGACAGACACTACACAAATCGGAGATACCACAATTGACAGAAAAGACAGCGAAAGTACAATGAGGAAACGGAAAAGAAGAAAGAAGAAAATACATCTTGCATCTATTGGAAACTTCTGTTAAAATCTTCACCGTACATCGTCGGTTCGAAATGTCACTATGATTCTTTCGTTATCATCATTACCAAATTACTATGCAAATTCCCGTTCATCTGAAAGTCAATTGTCACACAAATAACCCACTCACAAAAATTCAAGCCCAACAAACCGAAACGTATTTTTCGATCTCCGAAACACTAAATCAAGAAGAAATTACTCTACCCAACAGCACAACTGTCAAACCCAACCGTTACCCACAAGCCACTGAAACACTCGAACTCAATCCCCGATAACCCCTAACCATCCCCTAAACGCCAGATTTTCCAAATCTCGCACAGAAGTTCCCAACAGACCGACCAAAATAGAACAAGATAGAGGTAACAACATCATCGTGCAGGCTACTTGATGATGCTCGCGTCCTCTAACCCGTGAAGCGTGTCCGGCAGGAATAGAAGGTTTCGCCGTCAACGGCGACGGCGTCAGAACGCTACGATTGTTGCTAGAGACAGAAGAAGACGTGGAAGAAGAAGAAGTGGGCGAGACGCGATGGTGGTGATGATGATGATGGTGGTGATGGTGGTGATGGGGATGACGGTACTGCTCGTCGCCGGTGTGCTGCGGCGTCGACGAGGATCGGTCGTGAATCGGCGAGTTCGATCGGCGCAAGCAACGATCCGGCAGCACGAAGCTCTTGGATCTTCCTTCCAGCATGCCAGCGTGCCAGCTGCAGTCGGCAGCCCGATCAAGAGGTCGCTGGATCCGATCGTTCCAGGGACCACCGTCGTCGCCGACGGCGGTCTCGATCGTTCGATCAGCGGTCGTTTTCCTCGATTTCCGATCGTTCAACGCGACGTTCGCCGAACGTTCGCCGGCTCGCGGTTTGCGGGGACCGACGCGGCAGGGTTCCTCAACGGTTGGACGAGATTTCGGGACGACCTCGAGGGCTTTCGAGCTGCTGACCGCTGGTACCCTTACGTTCTCCGCCGGGCCGCGGTAGTAGCTCAGCGGCCGCCCGTTCCGAAGATCCCGTTCCGAGCCCGTACCCTGAGGATGTCCATTCTCGTTCAACCACTGTGCACCCCGGTCGTTTAGCGTCGTTATTCGGCCGTGGCCGGGTGTCGTCGTCATCCACGTGACCAGGATGGACGGTTGGAGGTGCACAAGACACGCGAACGGCAAAGACACGCACACAAACACACGGACAACGATCACGATACGTGGTACAACACCTCAGAATGAGTCGTCGGCGTTGATGAGGAGCGTGGACTTGTTGTTTGTCCAACGAGACGGGGCGGCGGGTAAACAAGTTCGCGGGATAGTATTACTCGGGGGTGGAATAACAGTTTTGTGATTCACTGATGAGTAAAGTTGTTCAGATTTATTTTATGAGGTATTGGTGTTTAACTTAAATGGAGTGTGTATTAAACAGTGAAGCGTTTCATTCAGTTTCATGTATTTTTGTTAGCTTTCCTGGAAACTTTTTGAACAAAATGTTTACCAGCTGAACATGGTCGTGGACGGGTTTATATGGTTTTTATCAGTTGCATCGTTAGCCGTCGTATGGTTTTGTTTACATTTACTGCCCCGCCTCGCTGGACAAATTCTAGGAACGTTTGCTGGATGCTGTGGTTTTAGGGTGTGCGTCTGGCAATGATAATTATTCTTTCAAAGACTTTCTGAATGCCATTCAAAGTGTTTGGTAATATCGTATGATGGGAAACAAACTGTAATATCCATTACGACTTTGGGAGGATTTGACTTGTCATCGCCATGTGCAGACTTTGAAACCACCGAGATTTCATTTGGTTAATTTTTTTTGTTTTTAATAATGAAGCTCCTACGGATATAATTTTGCATCTGTGATACGAATCATTAAGAGGTATTATACTTGTGTGATTGATTAATCACGAAATCAAACTTAATTGGTGAAATAGGTGAAATAAACCAACAAAGGAATCATATGTTTGAGATCTGTGGGTATAGAGGTTGAAATAGAAAATTATACTTATAAAGAGATAGATTAAAAGATATCCGGTATTCAATTGTCTTACTGATACTGATTAACGTAAAAAAAAACTAAAACCTCTCATGATCAATAAGTCGTGTTGCTACAGGAACGCTGACCGCAGCAGCTACCCAAACAGAAATTGACAACTGTTAGGGACATTATCCTAGCGACAACATGAATCATTTTTACACGTTTTTTCGTTTCTCTCTTTCATTATTATTAAGCACACCGGCGCAAACATTTGCCCGGCATTCAAGGTCAGTTAGCATGCGTGATTGCTCACACAAAATGGCGACACGTGTTATAACACTGTAATTATAATAGCGATGAATACAGTAATGATGGAAATGTTAACGGAATTGTTGTTCAATGACAATTCTGTCTAATTCAATTTATATAGTGTTCTTCAATAACAAAAATTTATGTATCTTTAGTTTTAATAATTTTGTTTCGAATGATATTTCATATTAAAAAATTGAGAGCCGATGGAAACGTTAAATTGTTATTAGTTGATACCTTTCTCCACATCGATACCTCCTTCGTTCAATTCTTAATATAATCAAGGTTATTAAATAATTTGGTTTCATTTAAAACTATTTTCTATGGATTTATCTTCACTGATTATTTATCTAACTTAATAATAAACAAAGGAAACTGAATACTGATACGCAAATACACGATGAAACAGTTTTAAATTCTTTTTCTACTATTCATAAAGAAACAGAATATTGAATTTCTAATAATAGATTGTATTTAAAAAGGTAGAGGAAAAGGAAGACACAGGACGAAAAAGAAATATAGTAGAAAGAAAATAAATAATATACAGTAACTACTATGTATATGAAAAAATGCGTACCCCGTCAAATATGTCCATGACCTCGTCCCACCACTAGAAACACAGAATTAATAAGGCGTTAATAAAAGCACTAATTAAATATGAGGTTAAAATGACATTAAAATAAAAAAAAAGAAGAGAACAGAAACACATAAATGATTAAATGTTTCCGGTGATTGCTTTCCATCTAATTTTCTCATTTCAAAGGAAATCTGTACACTGTCCTTTCGTAGATGAAAAAACGAAGATTTAGGTAAATATTTCATGTCTTGGATCTAAAGTGGATGAAATGTTCGTCAGATGGAAAGCAATGATCAGTAGAAGTGAAAACTAGAAGCAGCGCTACTGAAGCGAACCAAAAACCGAGGAAGTGATCGAGAAATCATGAAAGTGACGATCTCGTGAACGAGGAACGTCGAGAAAACGGTTTCGCCAAGGAAAGAAGCTCCGATAGAAACGAAGAAAACGAGCGGGTTGCTTCGTAAACTGATTTCAATCGTTCGGTTTAATCGTTACCTTCCTTCTGGTCCGTGTGACAAAAGTCGGCTAGAAGCAAAGCCATGTCAAACGATCATGTTTCGGACACACAGTTCTTTTTCTCGTGGTTTGAGATGCCTCGAAGTTTGCTCAAACTCGACCAAATTTCTTTTCGAACAGTGAATACAAAATGGTGAATCGAAAGCCAAGGTTCGAACGTTAATTGGAAATTGCAGGGTGACTGGTAGTTCAACTAGAAATATGTAATTTTCTCGTGATGAATCTATGTGGAAAAATAAGTCGAAAATGTAAAATAAAATTCTTTTTCTTTTTCTTTTTCTTATTTTCAAAAAATCAGAGCGTAAATAAAAGTTGAGCATTTAAATGTCATTGGTTTGGTATTGACTAAAAATGAAAGTAGGAGAAAAATACATGTGAAAATAGATATGAAATAAATAAGTAAATAAAAAGAAATATGAAATAAAATTAAAACATGTGGAATGATTGGTTAAAAATTGGCAGGGCAGCTGTTCTGAGAACATCGAGTTTTAATGCTTCAGTTGTCTCGAAAAGAAATGTTTTCAATGGTCAAATTTTATTGTATATTTTCGACTTATTTTTTCAAACAGAAATCGTATGTACTCTAGTTGCACTATTGTTTACAAGACACCCTGTATAGGAGGTGAGGAAACATTTAATAATTGAGAGCTGAATGGAATGTTGGTAGTCAAGTTCAACACGGTTCATTATTTTAGGCGATTTCAGTGAAAGTGGACTTTCAAATGGAAGCATTAGTTCTTCAAAGATTTGGAATGCTTACCTCTTTGGCTTCTTTTTCGGCGATAGACGATCGTCCTGGCTCGTAGTCCTCGATTCGTCCTGGTTGATTCTTGTAAATGTCTGTAGTATACTTCAGTGTCCCATTCCTGAAACATGATAAATATAATTTGTACATAATTCTTGTCGTATTGGATAATTTATTTAATTTAAGTAATGTGATAAGTAAAATAATTTCTATAAAAATAAGAAGATATAACAAACTTTTCAGATCATTCAAAATGAAACATTCCATGTCTTTTGTTGGCACAAAAAAAGTAACGCAATTTAACTTAACTAAAATATAAAAATTATTTTTTCTATTATAATATTTGTCATAAGTATCTCAGCAAATTTCTCACCGGTTTAGTATTATTATTAAAACATTAATTGTTATGTCTTGTTTACAGTAATTTTATGTAAGTAATATTATTTGTAAATGTAAATCAATTACTTTTCATACTTTCTAGGCATAGTAGACGTAGAGAAGTCATTTTCTTTGTTACGCAAGCGACGATGGGTATCAATCGTTGCAGAACGTTCCGTATACAAACGATGTTCCGGTTCACTTAAATAACCACTTCCGTAACCGTACCTTGTTCCTAAAGAAAAACATACAATTACACCTTAATAAGATATTCACTGGTCACAGACACGAACATGTTAAACCTCATCCATCACCAAGAAGTTATAAATAATTATTGTACACCGATATTTAATTGTACCATTAAAACAATAAACGACTGAAATTTACTATGAAAAAAACATAATCTAAAGTTTCAATGATCAATTTCCTTGTTATAATTTCAGTTCTCCAAATCAAACTTTAACTTTATTTTTTTTTAAATAATATTTTTAATATGCAATTCTAAATATTTTGAATATTATAAAATTATATTTCTAAAAAAATATAAGTACGAAGAGATATCACATTCAAATTAAAACAAAATATCTTTGTGTGAGTTGAAATTAAGATAACAATCATACCGCTTGAAATAATAAAATTTGTTATTTAGATAATTTCACAACAGATATTTTCATGCAACGACATAGCTCTCAAACGATTCTTATCGGAGCCATCAGCCTAAACGAGAAGAATCACTGTCGTGTGCAAAATTATGAATTAGAAACAAAGCTGTAAGGAACATTAAATGTTAGCCGGTTGTTAAATAAAGGAAGATATTATTCATAGAAATGATTTATTGGTTACTTTCACGCATTAACAATTACATTAGTTACGAAAGACCGTAATGAACGCGGTCATTCCCTAGAGATGTTAATTAACTCGGCTAAGCTGCATTATAGTTAGTTGCTAATGCAATTTTATAGCTCGACGCGTGTGTATTCACCTCTTCTTGGTTTGTAACGAATGGTTACGTAATCATCTGAAAATTATATTCGAAATAAATCTCATGATCATCCTTCATTACACTGTACATAAAAATTATTTGAACACTGGATATATTAATGAGTAATCTAATATTTTTCGTTAACAATAATTTTAGAAGAAGAACCATTCTCAAATCAATTTTCTTTATAATATTAATTGCACATATAAATTATATTTCATATTACATTCTGTCATATTGTAAATCTATTTTTTGAGATTTTTCCTTCTAAAAAAAATAGTCGGTTACTGATCAATATCCAATGCTAATCTCATTGTCTACGTTGAACTATTTTATTACTATAAAACTACATACTTATACTTCTAGTACTGTCACACTAAGATAATATTATTAAAACTATGTAATTATATTGCAATAAAATAATCGATGATTTCGTGTTACCAATCTGATAAGCAGAAACTTACCGTTCCTGTCCGCGCGATGCAACGAGTCGTACATTTTCTTGTACCATTTCGTTTGGTTATTCTCCTTCACTTCCTAAAATGTTTTTCACCGAATCAAACACTATAAGCGCGGGAAAATGAATTTTACTTGTTTCAGAAACCGCGAATTTGTTTCACCTCATGTAATTTGCATCTTTACAACAGCAATCAATAAAGGACAATGTTCAATCTTACGAATCGTACTGGCATACAGGATGCTTCAATTATTCCATAATCCAGTGATTGATTTTACAAATATATATAAATAAACATTTACACGAAAGCTTATTATCATCCCTGATATTAAAAAATGATTAATATTAAAAAACTTAACAAAGAAAATTGATGAAAAATTATTAACTACTTTATTTCATTCCAATAAGTAAACACAAACTTCGTAATAAACGATTTATTATTTTATTAAATTTATTTCTCTTCTAATATATTATTATAAACAAAGGGATCCTCACGTGGCTGATTACCAAAATGAAATCACAAGCCGAAGAGTGAACGACGGCCAAGATAAACGAAGCACCCTGTACAGAAGCATAATTCGCCGAAAACGTCTCGCGAAGATAGTGATGTCATCGCTTGACATTGTCCTTCAAATGAAATTAAACTAGACCAATCTAATTGCGCAATAAAGGACGTTCCGTTATTTTAGAGGTAGCCAAATCTGATCTCAAACAACATCGAAATAGAACCTGCGGCCGATTAATTCGAATTCGCTTGACAAGTTCGTTAGGTTTCAACTGGACCTACCGATCTCAAGACAAGGGGAATACCCTCCTTAGTCGTTGGGCCAATACCCTCGAATTTTCGAGGACCCAAATCGGCCATCTTCTTCGGCGGTTCGTTTTCCGTTTCCGGCTCGCTCTCGTACTCTTTCTTCACCGTGTAGACTGAGCGGACATCATGTTCAATTTCACAATTCAGTTAAACACTCGCGGAGAAACTTTAACGCGGATGGCATTAACCGAAAGGTTTTCATTCTGTTTTGTTTTTTAATCGTTGATCAATTTTCTTTATTTTTCACGTCACGATCGTCCGTTCTTTTTCTTTTTAATCGACACGAAGAATGACTCGTTACACTCTCGGCAATTAGTCGACGCGTGGAACCATGGAGTGATCACAAACATTGTGCGGTTAAACTTGAAACGTCGAACAGTGGCGGGTTGCAAATTATTGACAATCTGATTTTTAAGTGGACATTTTACTCACTTATTTCACCTGGACTGATTAACGGCTTCTCGTCGCTTGGCGGACGTTTCACGGTCTCGCTTTCTTCCAAGTATGCTGCACCCTTTGGTAACTGTCCCTCTGAAAGAAGGAAAGCTTGCTTAATTATAATATCGCTTGTTTATATAATTTCATCGAATTTAATCGTTCATTTAAATAAATTGCTTTCACGTTACTATATAACGTCATCAATTCTGCTTTTAATTCTGCTGAGGAATTAAATCGTAAAAGCAGAACATTGAAATGTTATAATTACTAAAAGAGTAATTCATAATTCAGCTTTTTATATTCCCCATAAATCGCTTCAATAAATTTACAAGGACGTTTGGTTATTCAGGTTAAAGCTTCAAAATCCTAAGAATATTTCGTTAATGTTCCAAATTACTTTAAATATCCTAAATTATCTTTTGATAAGGCAATCATATATTTATGTATATATTATTGCATTAGTACCTCGAGCCTTCTGCAGCAGCGTGATTGTCGGGTTCTGAGCGCGCGGCAAACGGGGTGTCGAAGCGAGTGAATTTAACCCTTGCGATGGAGCCGAGTGAGAATTAACGATTCGGGAACTGCTGCTATCGTAACTGGTTTCCGTCGTCTCCTTTGCTTCTCCCTTTTCCCAAGGTGGTGATGCTTCTTGTGCCTGGAAAGTAAAAGGATAGTGATACTATCTATAGAATGTGTATAAGATTTAAAATGAATTATAAAGTAAATAAAGTAAATCGTTCAAGATATTAAATTTGAATGCATCGATCATAATAAGACGTATCGCTTTATTGAATAATTTATAGTAATCGTTAAATCAAAAATTGAGCCAAAAACTGAATCAATGCAAGCTACATAAGATATACAAAAAGTTTCATTTCAATCTAGTGTGCTTGTAAGATAAATTGGAGATGGAATTCACTTACTTCCTGCTGGGCTAATTTTTTTCGACTTAGAACGGGACTTTGGAATTGTACCGGTCGAAATTCTTTTCTCTCTGGCACGGGACTGGAAGTTGCGCTGGATGGTGTCCAGACTGGAGGGATCGTAGCGTCCTTCTCGGATTCTTTTCGTTCGGGACTCCGTTCCTTTGGGGGTGGTGGTGGCTCGCTTCCAGGCGACCAAACGCCTAACATGACAAATTGATCTTGTTAGACCGCAGCGTATGATTTTTAATCCACTGTTAACCGTCGTTCACATAGGATATAAGTGAAATCAAACAGGATTAATTTAATTAAGGCATCTTTAATTGAATAGCTTCCTTTGTGAATGGCTGAAATAACAAGTTCCAGTGGTAAATATAAAAGGCATTTAAAGGTGACATGTATATTATTTAAACAGTTACCGATCAATAGATAGATGCTTAGTAACATAAGTTCACTTAGTAGTTCCTCTTTTGATAAACCTCGAAACAGTATATCTCTTCAGACAACTGTCCACAATGTTGTAGAATATTAGGATAGTCAATACGTGTAGAATAAAAACCACAGGCAAAGTATTATTTTGTTAATGCGTTTGATAACGTTTCTCGAAAAATGTCGGCAATCGTTAGTTCAAATAATAAACGATTAATCGGAATAATTACGACTGTACAGTCTAATTATATTCGAAATCACAGTTTACAATCTTTCTTCCGTAACACCTTACGGAATATTTTAAGGTTTTCTGTTTTCTTACTACTTTATAACCGAATTAGACCGATTTGTGTACATTCGGGATAAATAATGTTCGCGCGGAACTGAAAAAAGACGCGGTAGGGTCTTTGTACCGTAGTAAACACGTGAATTCGTCGGGAACGAGCCAAAATCAACACAGACTTGCTAATTTTGGCTGCGTGGGAGTATTATATAAAGAATCATTCCTTCCCCGTCAATTTTCTCAGTTCATTGCGTCAATAAATCTCAGAAAATCGTCGAGTCGGTGTTTCACTGACACACTGACAACAACTATTCAATGACCAAGAAAATACATTGTCGATTAATTAATCAATAAAATATATTCCTACATTTGTACCATCAATGTCTTTCGTTTATTCCATTAGACAATTTTTAAATGAACAAGATAAACGAAACACCCTGTTCATTGATACAAACAGTTCCTTTCTTAAGTCTGTCGATAATATGAATATGTATCGATCTCTGGTTGCTCGATTAATTAATTTATTTATTCGCAACATTGTATTCTAAGTACGAATGTTTTGATGTGACTAAAACGATAACAATCGTTCTCCAAAGGTTAAATTGCAGAATGAGAAAATAGAATGCACGGGACGCAGCGTGAAACTCGTCGAAAGCATTTTATGGTGTCAGTAAAACGAAACAACAGAAACATTGTCACGACGTGTTAACGTCACCCAATTTCTCGAGGTATTTTCACGTTCGAGTAGAAAATTAGCTATAGTATAGAATGACTTGGTCCAGAAAGCTAACTGGGCATCGTATTCTAGTAACCATCGACAATTACAATTAGAGGTGCCTTAATATCGACGCCCACGAAAATCTAATTTTGAAATGTTCGACCGCAGCCCGTTTCCTGTTCTGGTGCCACATATAAATAGTGGCTGAACAGTGATTCATTTCATTCTACTTTGCATCCAGATACATAACCGAGTAATCACTGATGCTAATGCATAAAATGTTCATCGCGATAGCATGTAATATATTTCATTCCTCTATCGCCTATGGAAATGCATAGAAGAAAGACGTCGTTCGCATTAGTATGCAACGTATTTCAATTCCCTCATACTCTTAAATAATATTTAACGCTCACAAGATTTGTCGTTTCTATTTTTGTCTCGTAAATATTACTCACTTTCCAATATCTTGAATAGTATAAGTATTTGGAGAAGGAAATCAGTAGATTTATCTTTTAAAACATCATTGATGCTCATTATGAATATACATGATAAATATTGATTTAGCGTCTTCATTCATGTTTCATTTTTAAACAAGAACATCGTTGATGTTGAAAAAAGATTATTCGAAATGAGAAAATTAAGAAAAAATGTTTACTATTAATGTTTAAATATTTTCAGTTGTTTTTACAATGTGAAGATGATTAAAACAGATTTGTGCTGTGTACTGGGTGTTCCATTTATCTTATTTTCTTATATTTATAAGAACGAAGTTTGTAATGTTAATATGCAGCGTAGCGCGTTTTTTAATCATTATTAAAATCGGTCAAAAATTTGAGGATGTTAGCATATAGGGTGTTCCATTTACCATCTGCATATGTATTGAGCAGCATACGAAAATATACGTTCTACTGGTAATAGCATTTTCCCTTTTTATTTCTGATTGTAAAAATAAATGGAACACCCTCTGGTTTAGAATTGCAGCACTCCGAATATGTAAATGTCAAAGGTCAGTTTACCTTCCATCGACACGGTATATTATTGTTATTATTAATATATTTGAACTGAACACATTAATAAGTTTCCTCTTAACAGTCTGTTTCGTTTTAATGGTCGCAAATAGATACAAAACATTCCGTTAATGTCACACAGTTCGTTTGCAACTGTACCTGGTGTCGCGGACGAAGCTTTAAAAGTAGGAGCAAACATAACGTTCTCTGAAATCACAAAAATGATTTTAACAATTCCATCGGTTCTACTTAACAGGAAAGGTTTAATAACTATGGTAACGAATTTTCAAGATCAGCATCTACACAAGTTCACAGAACTTAAATTGATAAACAGTTAAAATTTGAATTTTTTAGATCAATAAAAAAAACACTTTGAATTAGAGAGTACTCACAGCACTTTTAATTATTAGTATACTACTAGTATATTAATAAAATTATTATTAATACTGTATATGCGAATATAATATTTTGATAAATGTAACAGAATTAATTATTCTTTATTCCCGGACACAATATGAGCAACTTAACTTCTTTTCTCCTTCTGTAGGAAGGAAGTGGTAACACTAATGACGGTTAACCACACGCATGCGATATACAAATTATCAAATGTGCTGGTTAGCTCGCCAGAGCCAGTTGTAAATTTAAATTATAAATATAACAAAAAACTTCTTTTCCAATATATTTTTATACCTTCAAATGTTATTTACCAATACAGAATAAAAGGATTTGTGGTTTTAGTCTGTTGTAAACATTGAGTACTTATTGTATGCTTTTAAATGCGTTTCAAACGGAATGTGAATTGATGATTCTATTATTATTCAGAAGTTTTGATTCGTAGAAAGGGGTCTTAGACCCCTATGAGGACTTTGTGTCTTAAGAATCTGAGACAGACATCAAGCTTCAACCTTAAATCATGATAGAAGTCCCGTTAAATTGCTTCTTTCTGAGGCCGGCACAGCCCATTAATAGGAAAGCAAGCTTGATGAGCTTGAAACAAAAAGAAAAAGGGAGACGAGCAAAAGGAAGAGAAAAAGTAGTCAAGGTTAGGATTCAGTGTGCACCAGAAGTTTGCCGTCTGCCATATTTACGGAAATATCGACTTCTGTGCACTTTGAATTGATCGTTTCAATGGGTAAATTATTTGACTTGATACAAATCAAATTTAAGTATCCACTGATTATAATGATTGCCTTAGAACCACTTATTGAATATTTATTTTATGCTGAAACGAAATTAAACCTAAAACGATTGAATAGATTGAACATGTAATTTTTATCAAATCGAACAATTCAAAAGGCATTGAATTATCTTTATTAGTTTATGTAAATGAGCTGAGCATTAACGTTTCTGTTAATTATTATTTAATTCTTCGTTTCGTCTACACGAGTATTTTCGTCCCACGCCGCGAATACTCGCGTATTGCAATTTCGTGCAATCTACAGCGCTGTAACACGACACCTTTATGTAATCGAGATATGGCTACTCAGCCGTTTTATGTTTTCTTCGGATCTTCTATTTTTCGCGTACTGCGAGCAAAACATATTTTATTGAAGCCGATGATCACTAACGATCATCGGAAAGGACGGAAAAAATAGTATCGGACAGCTTTCCTGGTCTGCGTTAACTTTCAAGCAGGAACAACCTGTTGAATTACTCCTACAGTCGTTACTCAGAAGCTAATTTGATTAATAATGATCAATAATCACGTGATTATCCGCGGAAAGAAAAGTATCGATCTTGAAAAAATCATTAAATTGACTTCATGTTTAGAACTACATTATTATTTCATTTCTATCAATTCGTGTTACTTGAATCTTGTAAGGTTTTCTATTTTTCTGTTCGTTATCGTTGGTAATAATGATGGTATTAACAAATGTGAAATTATAGTGAAATAATCGTTAAATATTTCTTTTAGAACTTAAACTTGAGTAGAGATCGCAGTACCCCGCCATTTTGAGACTCAAAGGTGAAACATACAGATATACTTTGGGGCATAAACACGTTTTGTAATTATTTAAAACACAAAACGAATCATTTTATTAAATGTTCGATTAAAGAAGAGTTTCCAGAAATGATTTCATATTAATTCACTATTTCGACTGTAATAACAGATAATTTAAAAACGATCTCGAGCAACAGAATAAGAAATATCTAAAAGGATGATATCAATAAACATTTGCTACAAGAATGATTGCAAGTTTACATAAATTCGTGTCACAGTTGAACAATCAAATATCAATAAACAATCAACACAATTACCCATCCGCAAATCTCAAAGATCAACAATACCATCAATATTCCAAACACCAATATTAATTCCCATAAAAAAATCTAAAACACACAATTCACGTAGACCTCATCTACATCATGAAATTCGAAAAAAATCACTAAACCTCTCAATTATTAAAGTCTGCTACTCAAAATTAATAAATCACATTACTATCGTCAACTATTATCAACATATTACATGTAATCAACAATCCAAAGAATATTCTACAGCAATACCAACGAACATCGGTTCAAAATCCAAAATCCCAAAGGGGCTCTATTAATAGATTGTTTAGTTTAATTTGCGTTATATTTAATTGGTTTATAATTAGCGTGAACTGGCCACTGCCGGCGGATCGCACTTCCCGTGTCCCATCTCCCATGACTTCTCTCACTCTGCGTCACTGCGATCGATCCGATCGGTCGATCGATCGGCACTCACTTTTCTCTAACATCACTCAGCCTGTGGATCTTTTTCCGGATCGGCGCGGCGCGGGCTCGTGTATGCAAGTACGCGATCGTGTTTCGCGCGAGCGGCCGAGCTCCAAGGATGACGGAGGACTGAGAGGCGTCGCGACGCTGCCGCCGCCGCCATCGCCGCGCGCCGCGTCGCCGTATAAACTACATAAGTACGCAGAAGCCGGCGATTCAGAATAGTCTCGTGACGTTTCGAAAAATTCGCGTAGAATAAGTAGTAGCCGAGCCTATCGAATGTGCCCGCGTAACGTTTTCATTCTCCTCTCGCGCGATGCTCGTGCTGTTTATTTTTCAGCCTCCTCGAACGTTTGCAATTAGCAACGAAAGCATCCGAACGTTACGCACGCTTCGACGTAATAAACGGTCTTTAAGTCGTTTGCATATGTGGGGACACGAAAGGATGGATGAACATTGAGGGGGCAGTGAGAGGGTGGACGAGAGGGTGGTAGGGTGGTTACGAGAAATTGAGAGAGGAAAAAGAGAAGGGAAAATGAGGGACTAAAGAAATGGAAGTCGCGATAAGGTTAAATCAGGATAGAATTGAGGATAGGAACCAAAGAAAATGATACATGTGCAATATTTAACACGAACTACCGAGTAATTAAACTGACTTTTTGAAATTCGTCTACAGAAACTCCCAGAGTGCATCTTTTGAGGCTTTAGTTGTTTTATAATTCAATTTGCGTATTGCTAGATCAGTTTCTTTAGTAACTACTCGAAGAAACGTCTGTTATCTTTTTAATAATTGCGAAAAGAAGAATTCGGGACTGTGTCATTTTGAGCTGTTTGTTAGTTTTAGTGTTAATAATATGAATGTAGGAATGAGTGAAAGTAAGAGTGGTTAAGTTGGCTTAATGAGACATGTGTATGTAGGAAATGTACACTAAGTCCTTTTTCTTAGCTGCGAGGCCGAAAAATAAATTATATATATATATATATGATTTGTTTGCATATTGGAGAATACTTTTTTTAATTTTATTGCATACAGAGTAAGTCGTTGAACTGTACCATCGAAATTTATTTATTGGATCGAAAAATATTCGAGGCAAAAGTTGTTTAGCATCAAAATTTGAAATTACAATTGACTAAAATTGATTAGAAGTAAGTAGCGAATTCAGATAGTACGGTTGAATGACTCACTCTGTATACTATAAGTGCAACTTGTTTCAATAAACAACAATACACGGTGTACAATATTTTTTAATGACGATTCATTTCTTGCCATGCTGTTCAAATACTTTCGTTACTGACTGTACATCTAAATCGCGAGCAGCGTTTACGCACTTTCTTAAAACCGTAAATGTCTGATACTTATATTCGTAGCGACTTAGAGAAACTGTTCGTTAGTTTAATTTTCATGAGGACTGGCTCGGCATCATTCGTGGGCTTGTAGTTAAAAATTCGTTCCAGGTACGCGCAATATATCACATACCTTAATTGTGCGCTTATAGATTTAATAACCATAATAATCTAAATATATGTACATCTAATTTTATTTTCCTGTTTGCAGATGCGATTGACGTAAATTATTCACGTTCGATTTAATGGAAATTCGAGGAAACAAAGTGACGTTTGTCAATGTGTAATTAAAAATTCATTTCAGGGACTTGTGTTATATTTTTCAATCGTGCGTTTATAAATTTTAATGGCTGTAATAATCTAAATGCATTTACATGTAATTTTACATTATTGTTTAAAAATGCAACTGCCGTAAATTATTCATGTTTATCATCGGTAAAATTTAAATGAGTATTCGTTGTCACGTGTCTTCAGTGATTTACTGCTGTAATAAGTACTATTCATGAACTGAATACATCTCAATAATATCGTTTGCCTTGGCTTTTAATCTGCACAGCTTCTGTGAACGTTGACACCCAGGTTTTAATACAAATGGATTGTGTTGTGCTTCAAGAGCGTTATAATCTTTCTAATTTATATGTTCCCATTTTTCTGTTTAAAACTATAAGTTCTCCATACTTATCTGCAACTGAGTTACTACTCGAATTTTTATATAAATCTGATCATGCTTATCCGTACATTATTACAATAATTCAATATTTTGAAAAAAGCATGCACCAGGTAAACGCACCTTTACCAAAAAGAAATCCTCGGCCGATTTTCAAAGCACTGTCAATCTCGTGCAACAGATCGCTCTCATTGCCATAACCACTTCGCTCAACTAAAAAAGCACACCCAATATGTACATAGAAAAAAAAAATCAAAACTAATTATTATCAGGCACATAAACATTACGAACACATGCACAGATACGAGTACGTGTAATTTCGAAAGTGCAATTTAGCAGAGCGTGGAAAAAGATGGAAAATATATCCCGTGGAATATTTACGCTTCCTCCCTCCCGCGTGTTTAGAAAGCCTCGCCTAAATTGTAACTGATTCTCTATTTTAAACTTTGATGCGAAAGCAGTGATCGGAAAAATTGTAAAAAAAATTCTGTATGAAGATCATTATACGCGTATCGCATCGAATTTACATTCTGAAATCGTATGAGCCGGGAGAAATCGTTCCTAATATGCATTCGAAATAAAGTACGCGCAATTATATTAATGGAACACCTTTCAAGTAAATTTTTCTAATTCTATCGAAACGTTTCCCGTAATTGAATGTTTTATTTCATTTTATTAGCAATCATTTCATTTAGAAACTTCGAACGAAACATGTCAGAAATACTCCACGGCAACCGTTCCGCGTTAACAAGTTCGTTAGTTGTTATCACACTGCATGGAACTTGTTAGTCTAAAGAACATTTGTCTTGTTATCACCACTACTATCTTTTTAATTTCTCTGGGAAATGATTTGCAACTACATACATAGCAAGTAATTCGTTCTGAAGAATCTTTGTATGGCATGAATGTGTGGCATAGATGTTAACACATCATCTAGCGGCAGTTATTAAATAGTTTCTTCAAGATTCATGATTGATGTGTCAGAAATTTATATCAAACTTTCAACAGCAACAGCAATTACAGTATTGAATGAAAAAATCCCACCGAGTAACGTAATTTAATTCTCATCTGTGAATTATTGTTGAATGAAAATTATTGGGCTTTCGTAACAAGTAGACTTCGAATCATCATGCAAATTCAAATTTTTAATAATCCATTAATAAATTAATTAATTCTTAAAAATTGGTACACTTCGTATATTGTGCAATTTTTCATTTTCAAATTTCTCGTAAATCCATTGAAATCCACACTGCAATAATAAGTATAACAATAATTAAGTAATTGAAAGATCTATTAATAGCTGTCCGGTAGATGAAGTGTTAATAGAGAAAAATTTGCACGCGGGGATCTGGCTGGAAAAGGGTTAAGGTCTTAAGGCGAGCAGCTCCAGTTAAAATGGCGGATGTTGATTATGTCGCAACCGGTCGGAAATAGCCAAAATAGAGACGGTGGTTCCGGCGCGAGGCTGGACGCCGCGGGCAAATGTTCTACGGTTCTACGAACACTGGCCTATTTCCCGATCCTGCCTATATTTAACCTCTCATTCTCGAATGAATCATGAACTCAGGTTGCAACCGGCCAACCTGACTTCTGATCCGACATCGAAGACAAATAAATCGTGTAAACGGATATTTATCGCCGGCCAGGACAAGTTAAAGGTGAGAAATAGATGTTTCGGAATATTCTTTTCGAACTCGGGATACATCGATCTCTGAAAGAAATATTTATAGTCGCAGATTCGTTGATGTTACGTTATCGTACACGAAGTGGCGGATTTTTCAGTGTGTGCTGCTCCCTGAATGATTTTTCTGCTAAATAAAAGCGCATCCTTCTTGCTATAGCGATTGAAACTTTTTAAATACCATCTGAGTGGATTAGTGTAAGAATGAAGTTTTGTCGAAGACTACAGTAAATTTTGTGATGTTTGAGTATACCGGAAATGTACAAATTCTTGTTTCAAAGTGGAATTCTTATTGATCAATTTGATTTAGAACAGTAAAATGTAATTCATAAACTACTGAAATTATGTTAAAATAGTGGTATCGATTGCATTCATCGCGTGTGATGTTTAGTGTAAAAGATTACTTAAGAATTATGAAAATATTGATTATAGAGTAACATATGTTTATTTTTATAGTAATGGATTGAATAATCGATTTTCAAAACTGTAAATTTTTAAATTCAGAAGATTAACTAAATAACATTCATGTAACCGTGATTCGTAATAGATAGAATTTATGTGGCGCCATACAGACATTTTTGTTTTCCCACTGCTATACTGATAACCTATGATCTACGCGAAACTTGACAATACTTATCTTTCAGTGTTTACGCTTTACTGTATAGCAATAAATCATTCCGCAGATCTCCTCCATTCAGTTTCGTTAGTAACGGCAAACACGGGACATCTATGCTTCGAAATAAAAAGCTAGCATACACCTTTATTTTCATAAATTTTACTCCCCCGCATATCGTGTCAATTTGAAAAAAGTCGTTAACAAATAATATGAAAGTCGCGTGTAAACGTTTACATTTAAAATTCAATTTATCAGCGGAAATCGAATCTGAATCCGATTCGCAAATCTGATTTCAATCATCGAAAACACACATTTCAATTTAACTGAAACTTCGCGTGATAAAATCGAACGTTAACGATTCAATTTCCAATTGAAACTTCAATCGAACATTCCAAACTATGCTTCTCAAGAAGGTAATCATAATTCGCATATTTTTCACAGCTGCAAACAAAATCAGCGCAAACGACAACAAAAGTGGCGACAGTAAAATTCACGAAAGGGGAATCATTGTCAGTACCACTTGCTGGCAACGCAACACACGTTACATCGATTAGTGGCTCCTGTTAGTGGCTGTTACGTACTCAACTCTATCCAAGTAGCGATCGTTCCAAGTTTTCAGTCAGCCTCGTCACTCGAGCACCAAAACGAAAGGTTCAACTCGTCAGCGTTCAATCTCAACAACGACCAACAACACAGCAATCCTCGGTACGCTGGGACTCACCGTCGTCGGGCATCTTGAGGAACTCTTGCAGATGCTTCGGCAATTTTCTCGCGTCCCCGAATTCCTTCCCGTCGATCAGACACTTCTTCTTAACCTCCTCTTTCCCGTCGGAATCTCTCTCAACTTCTGGTTCACTTCCGTCCAGATTAATGCCGTATTTGTTTAGCCTGTTCCTCGCCTTTTCGATGAACTCCTTCTCCACGTTAGTGCCATCTTTTCCCGACTTATCGTCAGATCTATTAATGTCCTCGTGGGTGCTGATCTTAACCACCTTGTGCAGCTTCCTCTCCTCTCTTTCAAGAACCTTGTGCACGTACTCCTCGTACATTCGCTGTCGGAACGACTCCGAGTTCTTCAATTTCCCTTTACGAGTCTCATCCTTCAGCTGACTGCTGCTGTCCTCTTTCTTGGTGATCACCACGCTCTCGAATTGCTCGCTAGACTCCTCGCTACGAAAACCGTCGCCATGAAGGACCTTCTTCGACGAGTCCCTCTGCTCGTGTTTATCGATCACCTCGGAACGATCTTCCTCTCCGTTGGAGAACCTCCCGTTCAGCCTTTGATCCTCAATCTTATCGCTATCTTTCGAGCCCTCGGTATCCTTCTCCTGCTCACCCTTCAATGTTTGAAAATCCTCGAACGCCTCCCTCTCCTCCTCCTCGGCCAGTATAACATTCTTCAGCTGGTCCTCCATCCGTTCTATATCCTTCAACTGTTGCAGCAAGTATTCTTTCGACGTGTGGGGCTTCCCGCGGCCGATCAACTGGAGCTTCTTCAAGTTATCCAAAATTTCCGAGACGGTTTCTTGCTTCAGATCCTCCTGGTTCTTGTACTTCCTAGGCTCCAGGTGCTTTCTAGCTGGACTCTGATCGAAAATGCTAGTAGTGTCGATGCAAGACCTGTCCACGTTGACCACACGCTTCGCCGGTGCTGGCGGCTCGACTTTGTCGTCGATCAACGCCGGATTGACGCCATGGCGTGGCTCGATCGTCTTTCGGGGGACCTTTTTGGCCCCGGTGTCCGGCATGCCCGGCGTTTTGTCGATAATCGCACTATTTAACGTGATAGGACTCTTCCGAAACGGCGACGAGCTTCTTTCCGCGGAATTCAAGTTGAAACTATTGACTTTCGCGCGGCCGTCCCGCTTATCGGCCTGAATTCCCTCGGCCGACGGTTCTATTAATAAATCATCGGCGAGAGATGTCGCGTGGCCCATGATATCGCGTCTCGCCAGGTTCAACCAGTCACGAAGCTTGGTGACCTTTAGACGCTGATCCCTCTCGTACTCAGCCTGTCGACTCGACAGACGGTCGTCGGCCGTTTTCGGCTGGCCGGAATTCTCCTTCAGAATCTCCAGCAGCCTGATCGGCCTGTCAGCTGTTTCAGGCTTCTTCACCTCGACCTTGAACTTCGGCACGTCCACGCGAGGCGGTTCGGCTTGGTAGTACCTGTGTCTGTTTAGGAACTTCGCGTGGAGGTTCAGCAGATTGTCAGGACTGGTTTTGATCGCAGCCTTCTGCTGCGACGGCGAGAGACATACTAGCAGCCTGGGGTCCCTCGTGGACAGGCCCAGCCAACACTCCGAAGCGGCTTTGTCCATCGCGGCCGACTTCTTCGGCTCTGAAACAGCGGTGTCCCGCGTGTCGAGTGTTAGTCCGGCTGCCTCGGGGCTCGGCACGCTGGGGATAGAGTGCAGGCTTTCAAAGATGTTAAATGTCGGCGTTGTTATCTCGTTGATTATTTGCAAGCCATAGGGCATCGACAGGATTCGCTTTATGCAGAGATTCATCAGGGACTCCGGCCTGGAGTTGTCTACCGGGTGTTTCCCGGCTGATTCACGACCGCACTCTAGTGGCACGTAGTAGAGGTCTTCTACTGGCGAATACGGTATAGGCTCTGGTGATATGTCCTTTCCGTTTAGGGTATTCGAATCTTCGGCCTTCAAAGAGGATAGCTTACTCTTCAAACTGGACGTGTCTAAGTCCTTTTGTTTACTTTTCCTAGCTTCCTCGGCGATTATCGCGTAAATGTCCGCTTGCCAGGCCTCCATAGGATTGTACTTCACCGTGCTTAAGGTGGTCGCGCTGCTAGACGAGTCTCTAGCCTCGAACTTCTCCGCGTCTAGCTGCTGTTCGCTTGCATTGCAGGCTTCTTCGGACCCTTCCTCGCTATTTTTATGATCGATCTCATCGCTGGTTCCATTTTCAACCGATTTTGACGGCTTCGATGATCCTTCCGGAGGTTTTTCGGCCATCGCTGCTCGTTCCGAGCGTACTGCCGTCGAAGACTCGCGCGACGGCCATTTTTCGCGCGAGTTTTCGGGTAACCGGTCACGCGTTATTTCAGGACCCGTCCCATTGCCAAGTCTTTCGAGACGATGGCGTAATGTGTTGATGCTGTCACTTTGGAAATTTCGGATCCCCCGGGCCCTTAGATCGTCGATGATCGCGCGTAGCTGCTCGGACAACGTTGACGAGTCCACCTTGTCGAGTAACTCGTGAATATTCTCGACGGTCGCGTCACTGCTCGATATATCCGTCAATAAATGTCTGACGGTGCTCAGAGCTTTGACAATTGCCAGATTTTCGTTTGGCAAAGGGGGTCGCGTAGGAGGATCGATTGGAATCGATCGTCGAACTGGAGGAGCCGGTGGATCCTGAAGCTTCGTCGAGTGCTCGGCGTCTAACAGACTCGAAGTCCTCTGCGGTGGTGTTGGAGGTCGTCGTTCGTTCGTTATTGTGATATTTGGTGTGAATTCTGAACTTGTTGGTTTCTGAACTATCGACTGAGGATCATTGTCCTTTTTCAGAAGAGGATCTGGTGATGGTGTTTTTAAGATGTTTTCTTTAATGTTACTTTTGGACGATGACAGTGTCTCCACTTTCACCTCTGTTAAATTAGAGGTGCTAAAATTTTGATTACTGTGCGAGTTCGATTCATTTTTTGACTGAGACAGCAATTGTTGGACAGGCTCAATGGCAGTTGCATCAGACAATTGATCTTCTACTTTATTTAATCTTAAGACTTCATTGAAGTCTGTTTCTAATTTTATGTCCTGTGCAGATTCAATTTTAAATATATTACTTTCTGTTACATCATCAGTTTCCTCGAATTCTAATACTTTCGACTGTGATTTTTCTGATATTTTTGGATCATCAGATTGAGAGCACATCAATTTTTCTGATTTAATCGTATTTATATGTTCAATATGTTCCTCTTTTGTTTCAGACTTCGATTCTTCTTTCTTTCCTAAATTCAATCGTTTATTTGCATTTTTTTCTGTAGTTTCTGGTTCTTCTACCTTTAATATTTCACTTAGTTTCACATAGGTGTTCGCTCGCAAATTTTTCGGATCTAAATCGATGTGGCCGGTTTTTTCTTCTTTTGATATTTCTGTTTTCAGATCTTTTGTTATTTCAGAAGTAGACTGTGATTCTCTTGTTGTTCTTCTTTCCTGAAGTTGAGATTCCATTTTGTAAGATTTTATATTTTTTACTATGGTCATATTCATATTTTCAATATGTTCCTTCTTCATTGTTTCAGAAGTCCACTCTTCCTTCTTTATCGATTCGGACGAACATTCTTCCCTCTGTTCTAATTTTAATTGTTTATTCTCGTTTCCTTTAATAACGTTTAATTTTGGTTCTCCCACTTTACATATTTCATCTATATCAATATTGTTTTGCAAAGTTTTTTGCTCCGAATCAGTATGACAGGTTCCATTTTCTTTCAAAACGTCTATTTTTGAATCATTTATTACCTCCGAAGATGGCTGCGATTTTGTGACCTCACACGAAGTCTCTGTTATTTCTTCGACCAATTCTGAATCACTATGCTCACTTTGCTCGTGCTCTATTACTTCTGTTCTCGAATCGTTTGTAACATTTGAAGTTGGCTGTAATTCTGTATCTTCGTGGGGAGTCTCCGCTATTTTTTCAGTCGATTGTAAATAAGTATGATTAGTTCTCTCACGTTCTAACGCTTTCATCTCTAAATCTTCTGTTACATTTTGAGCTGTCTGTAATTCTATATCTTCATGAATACTCTCTATTACCTCTTCAATTGTTTCTAAATCAATACGACCAGTTTCTTCATGTTCCAATACCTCTAACTTGGTATCTTCTGCAATTTTTGAATCTGGCTGCAATTCAGTCTGCTCACTCGAAGTCTCCATCGTTTCCCCAATCGATTTTTCGTTTTCCACGTTAATCACATTTTCTCTCGCAATATTCTCCATCCCCCGTTTATCCCTCAATTCCTTCTCATCATTTACCTCCAATTCTCCATTCGACTTTTCTTCAATACAGCTCAACTCCACTTCTTCGTCTTTCAAGATTTCATCATCAATCTTCCCCATTTCATCACCTATCTTCGAATCCTCATTCGTTTCTTTATGTCTCAATGACCTTTCAACAATCTTTTCCTCACTGTCCACATCGACAACATTTATCGTTACGTTTCGCCTCTTCCTCCCCGCTCGAGGCTGCAAATTATCCCCTTCATCCAATGACATCTGTCCATCAAAATCATCCCCAGTATTTTCCGATTTCACTTTTCCACTCAACGTTTCCTCTCCTTTTCTCTCATCCCTGTCAACTTCTTCATCAATATCCTCTTCCTCTTCGATATCATATCCATTCTTGAGCTTTCGCTCCTCTCTCCGGTATTTACCAATCTCTTCATTAATGAAGTCTCTAATATGCTGCTCCTCGTCTTCGGACAGCTTCTCCACCTCCTCCTGTATAATCTCCAAAAACCTGCTCGCCTGATAGTGCTCGTAATTCCCGCGTTTCCTGACCTTCTTGTACGACGAGCTGGTCCTCTCCTGCCTGCACACCTCTTCTTCCGAGTAAGAGGGCAACTTCAGATCCTCTATGAAGCTCCTGAGCTTCCTTTCCACGTCTTTAGGCATCACGCTGTCCCAAGCTCGCCTCGGATCCTCCTGATCCGTCTCCGCCTCCACGATCACCGGTCTGACGCTATCGGTCTCCACGTCGCTGTCGCTGACATCGTGAATCTGCAATCTTTTATCCACCTTTTTCACCGAGCGGAACGACTCCACCGGTTCAGAGATCGTCACCACGTCCCCGGTTTTGTCCTTGCCTCCAACTTCCAAAATCCCCACGCCCGGTATGTGATCGATCGTGGCAGCCAACGGCAGGCTGCTGATCGTCTTCACTTCGACTACCTTGAAGTCAGAGTTCAAAGTCATTTTCTTGATCCTTTGTTTCTCCTCTGTGAGCATTCTTGAAGCTGTTTCCCGGACACTCTTCGATGTTCGAGCATCTTCGGACTCGGATTCGGTTAGTTCTGTTTCTAAACTCTCGTCCTTGAAGTCAGAGTTCACAGTCTCCTTTTCAATCTTCTGTTCCTCCTGTATGAGCGTTCTTGAAGCTGTTTCCCGCGGACTCGTTGATGTTCGAGCGTCTTCGGGCTCGATTTCGGTCGATTCAGTTTCTAGATTCTCGTTCGTAGCCACGTCCTCGAGGGCTTCCGCGTTCGTAGGCTGTTTGTCATCTTCGTTCGCAACCCGCTCGGGCCGGTGGAGTCGCCTTTTGTTGCGACCCCTGCGATTTCTGCGGTTCCGCGCGCCCTGCGGCATGTCCGTCTCTTCCGCGTCTGTCGCGTGCCCCGAGGATTCGTGGAATCCTACGGAATCCCGGGACAGAGTACCCTTTCTTTGAGTAATCGGCGGTTTGCTCGGATCGCTTGATATCCGAACTGCTCGGGGAGGTTCGGGCAAAATGAGCGAGAAAAGTATTCGTGCGGATTGTTCTGGTTTCGTTGACCGGATGATGCGATTTCCAGTGAATTGTTTTGATGTGAATGGGAATCGTGGGAACGTTAATTGTCCGACGTTAGATTCGAAAAATTTAGAGAGAAGTTACTTTGTTGAAGTAAAGTTTTCGGTCTTTCGGGAATTATCGTGGATCAAGGAAAACGGTGAAGCTTCGTATACTTTTCTAACATTTAAAGCGTAGCCACGGAAATTACTTGGTCATGTTTTTGTTTCAGTAATGACGCAAGCAAAGTAATATTAAACAACACTTTTGTTAATGAATCAGCCTTGGTACATTTTTAGTTATGAAGCTATTTTAATCGTTCTGTCGATTCATTTTGGTTTATCTTTGCGGGAAATGTCTTTTTGAACATTTTGCAAAACGCAGAGTTAATTTTCCGATTTTGAAAAGAGAATTTGAAACGGAGATATCATAAAAATAAAATCGATAAAACTCTCGAGTTTGTATAATATTCTGCCGTCTGAAAGCATACTTTTGGAAAAAAAAGTAAAAGTGGTCGGAAATGTTCAGTCGATGGCGTATGGGCCGAGTTAATTAATTTCATGTATGTACAGGAATACTGTCGAATTGGAAAATTTTAATTATTTCATGGCAATAAGCTTTCATAATTGAATTTTACGCCGTTGGGTATGACCTAATTAAAATACAATTAAAGTTTCCCCGTGATACGGGGCGATTCGCAAAAGTGAACTCGTGCGTTTTACTGTGTAAGGAAATAATTATTTAATTCGAAATATGCAATTAATGTGAGTGATGTAGACTATTATTTTAATACCATGTAATTATATTGTCGATTCATTTCCATTCAAATTTTTATATGTCCGACGATTGAATTATCTTTTACTAATTTTTGAAAATCATTTTGACATTCACTACTCATTTTAAAAAGAATAAATTTAATATTTATTTTTGTGACACTTTCATCGATTTACGAATGTCCATGCACAGATTCGATCGTTAAAACAAAAATCAATCCTACGAATACTTTTGTGTTTCACGGTATGCTCATTTGAACCTGATCACTCTGAATTTTCTAATTCACTTTTGGAGACACTCTATCTATATGCGTTAATGGTAAACCGAAGAAAAAGGATTCTAATTTTGATTTTGATTATTACGGGAACGTCGTGTAATTATCGGTTGTTATTTTCGTCATATTAATGTTTGCTATTTCCATTAATTGATTGAATGATAAACGACGATAATGAAAACCGTTAGTTTCTTTTCCCGTTTGATGAGTTAAACGCGACTTATTTTCGATCGATTATCGAAGCGAGAACGACAGATGCGCGCGATGAATGGCGGAAGAGAGAAGAAGCGTGTGTTCCGTTTTGCGTTCCTGCGACACTCAAGCCAACATTCCAAAGTGTTTTGTAATCGTTCGTAATAAAAGGAAAACAGTCGTTCTTACTTGTTTTGATTTCGTCTCGTTGCTCGATCGAAGAAGTCTTCGGTCCACCGTTTTGATTTACGTAGCTATGATCAGATTTTGTGTCATCTGTAAGCAGAATTGTTCGATCACATTAGCAACACTGTACAATTTAAATGTATCTTTTGCAAGTGATAATTAGACGGCGGATTTTTTTATAAACTCAAAATGATAATTGACAATGAAAATTATTTCTAAGACACTTTAAAGAAATTTAAACATTCTTAAGGTCCTCTGAACATTTTTCTACCTTATATTATATATATTTATATTCGTCATAAATGCATTCAATAATAACAAATAACATAAACGTATCAAACATTGGAATTAAAACTTTTACAAGACAAATGCGAATATATGACATTAATCAGTATGAAATTTTAAAAATCCAAACGAAACTAATTGCATCGTGTCTACTAATTTGATTAAAATTGATTCAGCTTTATTTGATTTGCTACATATGAACCGAGTTATCAACGTGTCCAATATTATATACATAAAAATGATGGAACTATTAGTATTAGAAAGGTACTGAATATGAATCCCTGCGATCCTCTTCCAAATTATTCAGTCACTATTTTAACAATAAAAAAAATGGTACAATCCGCGCCAATTTCTTTTTTAAACAACTAAACAATAAAATTCTGTGAAACAAACCTGGTGTACACCGAAATCACCGAAAATGGCGGTACGCTCGCGTGACAGTGCCTTGCGAGTTCCGAATGAAATGTCAAAGGGCCACGAATCACCGACATGGCCTCTAGGGTCCATGAATCGCGAGAACGGACTGACGATGAGCGCGAACAGGTCCGCCAGCCGTGAAACACGCTCGGTTCCCCACCCTTGCTTGTATTGTTTATATAATTTCTCAGACTGCCCTCTTGATTTAGCGCTGTGTCGCGAAACTCAACGACACATTTCAATATCCGAATTTAAAAACTTTCTTTTAGTCAGTTTGGCCTTTTAAATCATACCCTGAATATCTAACGTTTAATCATTTTGTGCACGCCTGTAATACATAGTAAAGAATCTTATTATATAAATTAAACACAACTAAATTTATTTCAATTCAAAGATAAGTTTGAAATTTTTAAAATATTTTTTAATGTTTGAAGAAACAAATGTTTGCTCGATCGATATGTACACCCAAGTGAAATACAGTTGAAAACACATGTAACTTCTAATTTTAAGCAACCTTATATTCTGTAGAATTCCAGTTGTATATTTCATTTTCGCTTAATTATAGTTGCAGTTAATGAAGGAGAACATGCGAAATACACGTAAAAGTTCGAAAGTAATGTAACGCAAGTAGCAAATTTGTAATATTTTAGAAAGAAAGATTAAATGCGTTTAATTTAAATGGTAATGAGCAATATGCAGTCAAAGCCAGATATATTCGATTCAAATTTATTTATTCAGTGTGAGTGGATAATTAATATTCATCAGTTATAATTAATAACCGTTTGCTCTTTTATTCTACCCATGTTATGGAAATCGATATTGTTGCGACCGAGCCCAGTGAGTTTGTTGCATTATACCTCGAGCGAAGTCGAGCAACCCTTTTGAAATCTCGAGAAGCTAAACCTAATTAGAGTGTCGTTCACCTTTCAACAACAAGGGAAAAGGAAATGACAGAAGATTTCTGTGCGTCGAAACGTCGAAATTACTTCTTTCTGTTTGCAGTAACTCGCGCGTTTCAGACAGGGAATTGAAATAAACATCTCGACGCGGCTAACAAGAAACAACCGTCAAAAATGTTACTTTCCTCGACAGTTCCCTCCCAACATTACTGAAATCACCCGAAAGGAAATGATTCATACGAATTATGAATATTAAACGAATTCATTATTCGATCATTTTAAAATGTAAAGAAGAATTTCGAATTCATCAATTCCACTTTAATTTACAAATTCGTTGGTAAAGTTTACACGCGAAGTTAAATTTGACTTTCAATGCGACAACCGAATCTTAAATCCCCATTTGATCGTTCGAAGCGAAACTTCAACCTAAACTTAAGGAATGACTTTGCATCTAATTCCTGAGATTTGAATATGACCGTTCGCATTTGTAGTATAACAGCGATGTTTAAATTAAGAATTACATACAATGACGACAAGATAATATTTGAAACGTCAAAATTGACTGTTCTAATTTCATTTTAAACTAAAATGCAGTCGTCGCAAGTCAAATCCGAAATAGCACCGTAAAATCGTTTCAATCGAAATTTTATAAATTGAATTCGGGTAAAATATCGCGTTTTAACTACTTGTCATAATGTCGTTGATAAAACGCGAAAGAAACGGAACGGACGTTATAATTATAGAATAAAGTAATAACGTTCGTGGAACAATCGAGTTAACTGCCGCCTGGAAAGTGAGGCGACGTTCTGGTAATCGATAATTCCGTTTCAATCCGAGTCCTTCCGCATCGAATTCGTCGCACCAGTTCTGTTGTCACTGGTGATGTAATGAAAAGTGTGGAAAATGAATGGGTGCGCTCACGATAGTAGTCGTTCCGCCATTGTTTACTCGGAAGGAAGTTCAACTCGGAAATGGTGGTATTCATGAACGAAGGGTGAGACCGTGTGCCTCGAATACCCATAAAACTCGGTCCAATGTATGCGTGCATTGACACAAACGAGGTACAGTGGCGTCAAAAAGTGTTCCCCTGTCGCGAAAATATTGAAAGGAATAAAGAAACAGCACCAGTGACACGGTACTCCGCACTTTGCAATTTAAATACACTCGAATATTAAATACACTCGTCGAACTAATTCAATTGGATTCCATCGATAGCATTTCAATCGGAATATCTCTAGAGATATTTTTATTTTGATACGACATGATTGGTCCGCAATTAAGTTCAACCGTTTAAAGTTAAATTACGCTTTTACTGGCGCAATTAAGCTTTGTCACTTGCGGTCTAACGTTCCACCGGTGGATTTTGAATTTGACAATTGAATTGTAACTTTAAATTTGAATTTCATTGCAGCAATTTCAATCCTATTCGACGCAAACCTTGAAAACTGCCATTCGGTTATATTCGTAAATCGTAAGGGTTCTTCTTTTTTTTAGGAGAATCATACAAGACGATTATGCGGCAAAAACGCTCTTTTTGTTTTTTGATCATTTAAAATTTCGTTAGAATTGTGAATATTAAGATATCTAATAAATTACTCTTCGAATTATTTACCTAAATGACTGACAATTATTTGTCGGTTCAAGCTTGCGTAAAGAGTAGTCATCGAACAATCAAGACGCACACCGTGCTTATTAACCACGTAATTGAACCGGCGATGAGGCCAAGCAAACCATTCGCAATGCTTCACCTAACTTGAAATTGCTTTCGAGTCAAGGAGAACAGCAACAATTATAACAGTGGGAGCGGTTATACTTTGGCAAATTTGATTTCTTTTAATCGTTTCATCGAATAAAATTCTTTCTTTCAAAAGTCGTTTCAAATAAAAGTATACGTTCTAATTCGGGGAACATTGAATAATAATGGTAAACACTGTTCCACGAATACAGCTAATTGTCTATCCTCCAAACTAATTTCCCTTTTGTCATCCATAAATAATGTGTTAAGTAATCTAAAGTATATTATCTCTCGTGATCTATAGGCAATGATAATTGTCCAATAGCCATTGAAAACATACGACTATGTTTCTGAAGAATTAAAATATAAGTCGATTAGAATCTCAATTAATGTACTTTCGTAGTTTCTATTTAAAAAAAGTAGAAATTGAGCAATTCGGCTGTTCAGTGATTCTAGTGTTAAATCTGTGCGGTTATCGGCGTCGAATAAACTGGACGTGTACGCTCCGAAGGTGCGGCGGTTGGCGTCATGCCCCGCAGAGGCCAAGCCCGTATTTCCGCAGCTCCGTCTTCCATCTTTCGTCCTTTATCCATGCATTCGACACCCATTAACCGAACCCCTCGACAAAGATTCCTACGATCTCGATACCTCTTTAGTTATGTCATTCGCCGCTGAAATATATTTTATTGTCTCGTCCATGATTCATTGCACAATTAGAAGGACACGAACCCCCATCTTCTCGTCGTCCTACTTCGATTTGACCGGTGGAAATTTAAATGCAAATTTAAAATTCAAATTCAGCAATTACCATTTAAAAATTGAAAATTTAACATTCAAATGCAAATGAAAATTCAGGCTTGAATTTCCATTTGAATCTGAATATTAATTAACATTCGAATTTTAGTAAACATTTGAATTTCGAAAGTCCCATTAAAATCGAATATCCCTGATTCATTCCCGACCTTACATTTTACTATCACCCCGTATATTTTATGTGTACCAGTAATCTCCAAATCAACTTCATTTCCCGCGAACAACATAAACAACTATATACCAAAAAATCTTTTTAAACCTTTACCATTCGACTCGGCGACATCAGACTGCAGATCAAAGCTTCTTTCCGAACAAACTCCCCCATCGTTCAATAAAAAACTACTTCCATCAATAATTTCTTCCAACATCACTGCATCCTTTTCTTCAATCACCCTCCCATCTTCCATTTCAATACCCGAACTCTTCCTATTCGCCACATCCGGACGATCTTCCTCAAAACGGACAGTTTTAGCTTCGAAAAGAATACTGCGCACCGCTTCCACTTTCTTCTTCTTCAAAATCGAAGGTCGAACGAGCAGATCAATCATCGTCCGCTGGATGTCCTTTGTGTCAGCGCAGAATCTCTCGAAACTCGATCTCCTCTTCTGAGATTCGCTGGTGGTCTCTCGATTCTTTATTCTCTGGTTGCCCCATGAGTATATGATCGACCCAGGATCGAAAGGATCAACGACAGGGATAGCCACCGTGTTCATTCGTCTCAAATCCAACGTGTTCAACTTGTTCTCCAAATTTTCTCTGGATCCGTCGTTCCTGAAGCTAGCCGGAGGCTCGATAAGCAGCTTGAAGGGTTCCAGCTGCTCGCAGTGGTCACGCTTCAGCCGTTTCTTCCCCGTTATGCTTCCGTCTTCCTCGATTTCGACGATTTTAATGCTAGTATTTACTTTGGGAACGATCTTTTTTACCCCTCGCTCGTCGACACTCGATTTCGAACTCTTCGCCCGACTTTTCTGACCTCTGAGATAAGCTTCTAGCCTCCTAGACCTGAATCTTCTGTTACGTTTCAGGGATGAGCGAATCGAGCGCACCAAAGACAAGAATCGAGATTCCCTGCGACCGGAGGGAACATTTTCCGCGGGCTTCGATCGTCTTATCGATCGCTTCGCGGTGGCCAGCGTGTCGAATCCTTCGAACGACGAGTTTGATGGGAAATTCATTTGCTGCATACCGACGAAACATCGCGAGCAATCGAAAAACCTCATCTTTGTGTCTTTTGATCGGCAGATCTACGTATGTTGGAATAATTGCACAATTCTGTGGGGAGTAGTAACTTACTCGAAGTAATAATGTTTTAACGTTACAAAATGTTTCATTATGAACATCGATTTGGACGTCTGAAAGGAAAGTTATTTAATTTGACTTCGAATTTAACAAAATCTTCGTTCAAGATTCATTCCATCGAAATTGAATTGCTCGGCTTTGAGGAAGTTTTACCTCACGAAATAACATTTCTTCTCTGTATCATCGTGTAAAATTCGTTCTCCCAAATGTGAATTTAATGGATACTTGGATACATGGATGATTGAAAATACCGTTAACGAAACATCGTGATTTTTCCATCGGTAAAACGATTGCGTCGATTCTAACACTTGCTTCACATCACAGTGATCATTAAGGTTATAACCATTGAGATCGCCGATGTATTTCCGTTTTCAATTACCGATCAATCCAATAGTTCCGGTTCGAATTATGTAATTCGCTATGCAACGAGGCGACCGGTGAAAAAGGAAAACGGTAAATTTCCTATAGTGTCGATCAGACGTGACCGATCGTTGATTCCTAGCTTGAACCAAAATTAACTCTTTCAGAATTTACTGTTCCATATTTCTGTCTCCGGAAAACCGCTGTCTCGTCTAAATCACTGATTTTTGTATCTTCGAGTAACATTGTTACGAATAATTCGCGAAAATACTTTTCTTTCTAATTTTAGTTAATGCATTTCGTTGGTTGTCGAAGCTGAATACGTGCTCGCGGCATTCGTCGATAATTCTGCACTGTGTCTCATCGAAAATTGAACCGAAGGAAACACGAAGAGAGTTTCGCTAGCACACTGGACAAGGTGTATGTGAATACTGACAGAAAGGTGGGTCAAGTAGTTTGAAAAGGAAAAAGAGGGTCGCCTTCTAGGGCGTCTTCCAGGTGAACGAAGGGGTGCGGCCACCGTTCAAGGAACACAAATGGGGCCTATGATTATGGAAGCAGGTGCATCGTAGAGATGGCTACGATACCCTCGCGAGCGTATCAATTAACAAACGAAATGTGTACACACTTCGGACTGTAAATAATGCAACATAATAACGGTACTACAGATCTTTACACAGATTTAAAGCTTTATGAATAGATACCTGTTATAAACAGTACTGGACATTGAATATTTTATACATGTTTTCGTATTCGCAATCGTGTGCAATTTTGCAGTTTCGAATTTCTCCTAAATGCATAGAAAGTTTGTATAATAATAATTAAACTGAGAATTTCGTGCATTTATTACGAATATAAGTGTGTATAAAATAGAGAAATGGTGATAAAAGTTTCAGAATATTGTGACTTTCCTTTCAACGCACTAATATTCTTAAGATATGAAATTATTTTCTATCATTATTTCTTTAAATTAGTCCAGATAGGCTTTTCTTCCTATATAATCAGTTCAGATTATAATCAAAAGTTGTTCTGTACAAAGTAATAAAAAAAGTTACTTATACAACACAACTGTATATGAGCAATATAGGCTTTATCTTCTCATCAAATAGCTTTAAAGATTCGTATCGTTACTTAGAAGACCGAGGATCTTGAATGACCCCAAGTCTCAGTCACGCGATGGTTAAACAAAATTGATACAAGTAAAGCATTTACTTACTCGTTTCGTTCTTCTTAGACTCTGTCGATAGAATTTTTGTGTTCGATGTGCTTATATTCTTTGTCGTCGTTGTCCCTGTAAAACAAAGAACAACACGTCGGACTTAAGTATTTGAAAAAAATTTACTTTCTATCAGTGTGTATCGAAAAATTTATTGTTCGTCAGTACTTCTTTCACTAATTGTTTTTTTTTATATTTCTTATAGTATAACAAAAAAAAGTAGA